TTCCATACATTTAGAATATTTTCTTAAGAATGCATGGTATAACATTATTTCATTTCTTCAGGGTCGTCAACGCGCACGTGACACCCCTGGTATTGCAGGCGTCCATAGGCGACAGTGACCGTTTACCAGTTTTTAACAATAGCTTCTTTAATTTCTTTCAGATATTTCAATTTTGTAATTATTTTCAAATGATGCATTCTGGGATCATGTTGTCTTCTAGCATTCCCAGAATGAGATCGCTCATTGTTAATTCTTTGAGGATTAAAAACCATCTGTGATTACCAACCGCCGTATGGATTCGGCATAGAATAGGGGTCACCCCTTTCTTTTTCGTGGGTGTCGTAAAAAGCGACTAAGAGAGGGCGAGGGACGGGCAGCAGCGTCCCTCTTAAAACATGACCAAAGCATAACTGCGGTTGCTAAACCATCTACTAAACGTGGCAACTACTGGCAAAACCCCCCTAGGGGAGGCTTATGTTCAGCAGTAGACAGTTAAAGGCTGATATGACGATGATTATCATAAGTTCCTTCTATAGGAACTATTTCGAAGCATACTGGATTTAGCTTTTTCGTGTCATAAATAGATGTCATCATCATCATCATAAATATAATAGTTATAAAGAAGCTATTATTATAATACTTCTACAGTGGTGCAATGTTAGTTATAATAATAATAATAATACAGACGGCATCTATATCAGATTTATTAGGTTCGAAAAATTTATTAAAACATTTGCCATCTAACAGTGTTATGTTTTTGTTTATAGTAAATCAAAAATGCAGAATACGGGAGAATTAATGCTCGATAAATTTTGACTTGACTGACATTACATAATTACTTTCAAAGTCGTAGAGAATTGAAATGTTTGATAAATATCAATGCATGCTTCACCCATGGTGTACAATAATATTGTTACTTGTACCTCTGGGCTCATTTATATGTTAATTATTCCAGATGCTTGCAAAATAGTGTATTCATATAATGTCCACTAGACACGAGGCCAGTTTACTATTCAGTCACTGGCCTTTCACTGGTCTCGTGTATGTAACATTTGAATACAATTCATTCCATGTTGTATATATGTCTGTGTGTATAATTCTTTGTGACGAAAATAAAAGTTATCACTTTGATTCGAGATTCAGTAATCATTAGCTTCTGTATAATAACAGTAGTAAAAAATTGTATCGATAGATATATAATAAGCGATTAATACTTTTTTTGTTTTTTTTTTTCTAGAGCCCATTTGCAATAAGGTAGACCGTTGACTAAGATGTAAAACTAAATTGTAAAAATATTATCCTAATATTACAAATGTGACAGTAAATTTGTTTAATTATTTTTTGTTTTGTTACCTCTAGGCTGGAGAAGGCTTTTTGTAACCCGGTCAGTAAATATATCTCGGTCAGGGGGCGAAATTGCGGGTAAAAGCTAATATTGTAATGAAGCGCAATTACGGAATTATAATACGTAGGTACATTAAATTTTAGTGTTCCTAAACTTTTACACTGCACTTTTTATTCAGGCGAATTTGTTCATTACATTTCTGAATAAGAAACAAAATTAATACTTTAAATTCCCGATTGGGACTTAACGTGACGTGATTGCAGGTAAATAGTACCTACATGCCTGAATTTTAAAATATATATAAACAATGAAAAAGTGTAAAAGTAACTAAAATTATTTAGTTCAACATCTAATAGGAAAGAGGATGAAAGTGTACAGAATACAAGCAATAGATTTTTTGAGAATATTTTTTTCTTAGCTAATGGATAAGACAAGATGTTAATATCAGCTTTATAGAGGAATAAGTTTAGTGGCAAACAAGCTATGGCGCTGATTGTAAGCGGGTATCGTAGCCTAACGCCTGCCATACCAGGGGTATTCGTGCGCGTTGCCGACTCTGAAGAAACCTCTTTATCCCTTTTTTGGAGAACCCGATGCTGCAGTCTCTTGAAAAGAACTCGATAAGGAGCTCATTCCATAACTTGGGCGTTAGTAAGAGGAAACATGTCTGAAACTACGCTATAGGCGACCATCGTGGCTTTAAAGTATAACTCCCCGTAAACTCCCTGGTGATAGCGAGCTGTACGATAGTAGAAGGAGGCCGTGGCCATCATATTGAACCATTCCTCTAAGCACATTCCGTTATACAAGCGATAGAACACGCAGAGTGAGGCAAAATCTCTTCTAAGATTAAAGGGTTCGATACCGCATGTAGGCCTGGGATCATCGACAATTCTCATAGCTCGTCGTTGCACTAAGTCGAAGGAATCAAGCCGGTATCTAGGTATTCCGCCCATAAGTAACAGCAATACTCCTTGTGGAGCCAGATTTGCGATTTAATTACTTATTTAACCATAACAAAGCATTCTTAAAGTAATTTAGACTTTTGAACTCGTACTTATGAACACATAACAGAAATAAAAATATATTCTTATATATTATGCACAAGATTTATTAAGATGGAGTTCGATTATAAATTATCCCATAGGAAAATTCTGTTAAAAGATATATTTTTAGTGTGTTAAATTTTATCCACTGCTCAGTTGTTTACAGCTATCGATAAATAAACATCCTATGGACAGAAAGGATATTTCACAATAACGAAAGGATAATATTTTTATATATTTATAACGACAATATATATGAGATCCTGTTCTTACTTCTCGTGTAGCCTAACGGTTTGATGAATTTAAATAAATGTAAGTGGCGTATTACATTCGTCTTCATTGTAGTAGTGTTACATTGCTAGTCTTAGTACATAACAACAATTTAAACATGTATAGAGATCATACACGAGACATTAATGTTTAAATTTAAGTATGCATAGTTGTAACTATAATCCTAATAACGAATTAAAAAAAACGTCGGTACAAACTTAAGCATCTAAGAAGAAATACAGAAATATACTCGTAATATGTACTCTGTACGATAGATGACTAAATTGATTTCAAATTTCCTGTTCTATAGAATATGCAGGATAAATAAAATATCTTAGAGTGCATAGCGAACTAAGTAAACGTAAACGAACATATTTTACAAAAGTAAACAAAAAACCCGTAATAAATTTTCAAGAAGTCAACTATCATGATGATATACTGGTAGGTACATTGTAGATACAGCTGATTTTATTATTTCATTTGCTATTCAATGTAGTTAAGATGATATATGAGTATTTTTGCTTCTATATAATGTGGAGTTTTCAAAACAACACAAAATACCTATCATATACTACTTAATTGCCGTGTGGATCCGGCATAGAACAGAAAACTACTTTCCACTTGAAAGCCTTTCTTTCAAGATTCCACTTGAAAGAAAGGCTTTCAAGTGAAATTTAATGGTTGAGGGATGGGCAGCAGCGTTTCTCTCAAAACATCATTAAAACCTAGCTGCGATTGCCAACCCGCCTGCCAAACGTGACAACCACTAGCAAAAGTCCTCTCATGGGGGAGGCCTATATTCAGCAGTGGGCAGTTAACAGCTACTACATACTTAATTTAAAGTTTAGTTTTTTGTATCTTATCTAATCTTACTAATATAATAACACTGTAACTAGAAGATGCCAATAGGTAAGAGATATTTAAGAAAAAATGGATATGAGGGGTATTAATAAGACCAATAAATGTTAAAACAATAATATTTAGAAATTTAGTTTGTTTGTCTATCTATTTGTATGTTTGTTCCGGTGTAACGCAAAAACTACTGAACTAAACGGAATGTAGTTTTCACAATTGTGTTCCTTAATATTAGACTTAAAATCTGGTGTATGTTTTAGTAACTTGATACGCCATCCAGGATTCCTATTTCATTAGTTTTTCTACTTCTTAAATCTACGCGTACAAAGTAGGGAGAGAAAAACTAGTATTAAATATTAGTTTATCAACGAGTAATCTTTTAACTCATTAATATATCGATTACTTATTTCTCTGCTTATCCAATAATTGACTAGTAGAGAACATTATCCGATATTAAATCCGCCAAATGTATATACATGTTGTATTACACCTACTGTGCATTAAAGGTTAAATAAATATACTTCTGGTTGTGCAGTAATTTTCTAAAATAACGTGTTGTACCTACATGTCTACTTTATGACTTAAAGTCTCTTTTTTTATTAAAATCACTGCAACGAGATTTCTGTTTCACAGTAGAATCCTAACAAATCAATAAATGTACTGAGTAAAATTTTTATTTGCAAATAAATTGTTATTAACATTTTAGCATGCTTTTTAACTTTTTAGATATATTTTGGTATATAATCCAATCTATAAAAATTTGTCTATTGTACGAGTCTTCTTTTCATCTTCTCTTCTCATTTCTTAAAGAGATTTGATTAAACGCATTTATTATATTTAAATACCCGTTCGTGTATATAATAAATATATTACTAAACAATTTATATTCTTATTTATTTTAGATATCTCGTAGTAATAAATATGAATAATTCAAAATTTCTTTTGTTAATAGTTTTTTAATAAAATGTAGCTATAAAAATATTAGATAACAACACAAAATTATAAAAATTGGTTATAAAGATACAAAATTTAAAGAAAATGTTATTTTCAATGAATGACTATTACTGTCAATTTATCAAACAATAGGTAGGTACTATAAATTAATATGAAACTTATAACTTTTATAAGCAATATATACCACATACTCAAAATAAAAAATATATTATATTTTTTACTTGTAAATGTCTAGGTTGATGTACTAGAATTGATACATTTCTTACTTTCTTTCCTAATCCTTCTTTATGTTATATAATAGCTTTTTGAAAGATATATATGATATAGTAATATTTGATTTTAATTATTTTCTTATTATAACTAAACTCAGCATTTAATTTAGTTAGTGTTAGTGTAGTAAGTTAGTGATTGAAGCGTTTAATTCAATCACTTTCTAGTGTATTCGTTAATTTATACGAAGAGAAAATGTTACTATTTTCACACTAAATAATTATTAATTGTCGTAATATTATTATAATATTAGAAAATACCTGTTTAAGAAAAGCCACTGATATTTTATACATCACTATAAAATTATTCCGATCAGAAAAATCGTAAATGCACGAAAATGCGCGAGCGTACGCTAAAAGTTTTATTCCGCAGCACGTCACTGATGCAGGTGGCACCGAACGAGGATCACAGTTGATACTGACTACCGCCACATCCACTACCATTCACTCCTACTACTATGCACAATAAAGCATCGCTATAATCGATCACGTGAGAGAAACATCCTACTACGGGATTATCGAAGCTCAAACGAATTATTATACTCAATTTCAACTGAACCCGAGTATATGATATATTTTTTTTAATTAAAAATAGAAGTCTCAAAATCCAAGTCAGTGATTAATGAGATCGCTCTGTTTTATTTTGATGTACTCTCCTGATATGAAGAAGCAGAAAACACTGAAGGAGATTCATTTATAAAAAACATTTTGCGTAAATGAGGTTCCAGGTTTGATTCCTGGTTGAGCCAATTTATAAAACAATTTTTTTTAATTTATGCTCTCACATATTCATTAATATGAGGAATATTAGAAACGAGACTCCCATAACACAAAATATCCTTCTTTGAAGATCAGGCGATTGTTGTGATTGTATAAAAAGATTCTTCAAACCAAAACTCAACTGAAGCATAGCTCTTTGGTGGCAGAAATCCGAGTGGATTAATGTATCCATCTAATCTTTTGTACAGAGATCCAGCGGGATTTAAAAAAATAGTTGTAGTGATGGTATTTAATTTTACGAGCACTAGAGTTTTATGTGATCAGGCCGAGCAAATACCTGTTTCTGTGGTAAAGCAAGATTACGCAAAACAAATGGAAGTGCCTTTCACTTTTAACACGTGCTTATTCCTGACAATATTTTACAGTATTTTATATGAATATAGAATACAAATGTATTCTGATTTCTTCTGGTTTATTTATACAGATTAAAATTGAAATTATTAACATCCCTTTCAAGAAGTGTTCACAAACAACACTTTTATTAAATAATTGAACGTTTTTCTATAGAAACGTGATTTTAAAAACGACTTAATTTTTAGAAGCCCCACTCTAACTAGACTGCTGGAGAACTGGTGCAATTTTAATACGTATGGAAGGCTTATATATTTGTCGTGTTTTCATTTCAGTTTTATATATCGAAAGAAAAATTGATTTTAGACTCCGATCATTCATTTTTTTAATAACTAACTAAATAATTATTCTAAAAAGTAGCGAACTAATTAGTAATACAAAAGTTATTCAACCCAATACGTATACATAGGTACATATTTTATAAATCATTGTGATATAAACAAGTTTGTAGACAATCTTTAATATATTGTATGAACTTGAGATTTGAGATATAATCAATTAGATAAGAAAAAATATTAACCTGATTTTAATTGATCAATGTGCTTTAGTGTTGCTATTTGACTTATGTAAAAATGTTGTGTTTTTCGTTATTTATTTCAATTTTATCGTTTACTTTCGTTACTAGTTAGTTCGTTTTGTTAGATAATAATAAAAATTCTATTGTTTAAATTTTTTAATTATACCTTAGACGATTTATTGACAATTTTGAATATTTTACAGGCATTGATTATGGTCCCTATAAATTCACCTCCGACTATGTGACTGTCCGTCAAGGGGCCCATATGTTTTATTGGTTATTTTATACCACGGCCCCTGTCAAAAACTATACGGAGAGACCCCTAATAGTATGGCTACAGGGTGGCCCTGGTGGTTCTTCTACAGGGTTTGGTAATTTTGAATTATTGGGACCACTTGATCTGAGACTTCAAGAAAGAAACCACACTTGGGTAAGTGCTTGTAATTTTTATACTTATTAAAATTTATTTCTAACGAATTCGTACGTGTAATTGTTTATCTGCAACAATTTTCAATTTTTTCACCGCATAATTACATTTCTGTTTTGCCAAAGATTAATTGGGAAAGATAGCTATATAGTATTAAGTCTGCCTTTTGTACCAGACATTTTTTTGTGATATGGTCAATAAAAAAAAATAAAACTAATTGAAATTTCTTATTAATTATTATTTTATTTTTTATTTGTTAATTTATTAAGCTTACTTATAAAAAAAAAGTTATTTTCTTTTGTATTTATTGTGTTTATTTCTTAAGCGACTTATGGAAAAAGAAATTTACAACTCCTTTTTTGTTTTTATTGTTACGAGTACTATTATCTTTCCTAATTCTGAACCGATTTTTACGTTCAACAGGATTTTCTTCCATATTGATTTTTATTTTTACGAAAGATAAATAATGTGCAAAATAACCCTTAAATGTATTCTTATAACATAAAAATACAATAGTATTTATATAAATTTACTGTTAGTGTGAGGTGTGAACTTTCAAAATGACAAAAGGCCTCTGCGACATGGTGTTATATAATTGTCAAAAAGTATATTTCAGGAAATCAGTACATTCTGTCTATCCTGTATTATATTGCCTTAGCTGTATATTAACTAGCTATAGATAGAGCAGTTAAAAACGTCATTAGAATAGTAATTAAAAAACAATTAAGATATTCAAAAGCTGTATGGAAATTTCGTGAACGCCCATAATTGGAATGCTTCTAGAGTCTTCTATCACAAAAGACTAACTTTCCTAGAATAGATACATTATTTATTTATGTCGTGCTGTGTGCAGCTATTTGTAATATTCATTTTTTAGAAGTAGCTATGAACTAACTTATTGAAAATAACTATGTAGCATTCTTTTAAGGGTACAGTTTAACATATTAGAATAGTTAAAAAAAAACGGTTAATGATAGGAGGCAATTTTTCAACTCATGTATTTTTTCAGGATAGTCATTCAGTTTCACTGATAAAACTTTCTCTTAACGATATGTCAATAATTTCTATTTCGTATGTATTCCAATTTGTCAATCTAGGATAAGGTCTATCTGTGTACTAAATTATACTCACTTTGTTCATTCCTTTAAGTGCAAATAAATAATAAACAATAACATTTAAACTTTCACCTTTATATAAATAAGGATTACCTACCTGTTATAACTTATTTTTCTTTTGCAGGTAAAAAATTTTAATGTACTGTTTGTGGACAACCCCGTTGGTACCGGCTACAGTTACGTGGAGAATCTGAATTTACTGACTGTAACCAATGACGAAATAGGTAGATTAGCATAAATATTTAAAGATTAGGTATAAGTAGATTGATAAATTAATACAATTAAGATTATATTGTAAATATATAATATAATAAAAATGACGTATAGAGACGACGAATATATGACATAAAGAGATAAAATTAGCGATAATTGAATAATAATTTGTATTGTATTGTAAAATATTTATTGTACACAATTTACATTGGACACATTAAAAGATTTAATATACAATGAAAGACTTATACCATAGGGATCTTTTACAGTCAACGAAAGAAGTTGAAAGAAAACTATAGAATATTTAAGGGCAAAAACCGAACAGCTAAATTCAATAATGTGCTAGTAAATATGTTTAATTCACGAGCATTTCTTCTGATGTTGCGGATGCTCATTGGGGCCGTATGCTCGACATTGCCCCTGCATTATATAAAAATTAAATTTACGCTTCAAGGTACAAGTATATCTAATACAAGTACATATATAAACGTTGCTGGTCGATACACATAGACACCTTTCAGGTAGCGGCATTGTGTATAGATTGTTGTTATTCTTTATGATGATCTTATAAGAAGTGAAATTCCTACAACAAAGGGAAAATCATTTAAATACTTAATGTATATAATTTTACAGCTCTGGATTTCGTTGAATTACTTAGAGGTTTTTATTCATCAAATCCAGAATTTGAAGGAGTTCCTTTGTATCTTTATGGTCAATCATACGGAGGAAAGATGGCAATCGATATGGGTATCCGAATTCATGAGGTCAGTTTTTACTAATAGGTAGACACTATTTTTATTTTTCTAATATAATAATAAATCAATATATCAAGGGAAAAGGGGGTATTAGTATGGGGTCTAACATCCCCATTAAGAGGGGAAAAGGATTGTTAGTAATGGGGTTTAATGACCCCATTGCTAGCAATACATCTTATCAGGTTGACCTCTCGCGATTCCCCCTAAAAACCATCATGGTTAATTCTAGTCAAGTTAGTCACGACGGGCAAACTGACCTGCTTTCCTCGTTACCTCATTGTCATCATCCCTCACTGATGCCCCGTCAACGTGTACCGATAGCGCGGGTGGGGTTATCATTCCATTATCACCCATTAAAAAAATCCCCATTGCTAGCAATATGGTCTGTCAGGTCGACCTCAACGTGGTTTCCCTTGGAAACTGTCGTGATTAATTTTAAGAGATGTTACCATTTCATTTCACCCATTAAAAATAATTAATATATCTACTTACAATAATACATGTAATTGTTTTATTATTAGTATTGTTAATTATCTGTCTGTTTATTGCAATCTCAATTCAGTCTCGTTAACTAATTTCATTGAGGAATCAAAAAAATTATCTTTTACTGTTATGAGAACCAATTTTTTTTTAAATTACCCAATAGATAAACTATCTACTAATTTACTTAGAAATAAAAGTAACGAAACAAAGAAAAATTATCGCCGTGAAGAGGGAACGCAAAAAAATGTGTTCTTTGTCTGTATGTAGTATGCATGTTGTTGTATGTATTTTAATTTTTCATTGTTTTTTTTAGGTATTTTATGGTACTTAATTATAGCGTACGTAAAAAAGTAGTTTCTATTTTATTTAATTCACTAATACTAAGAACGATTATAAAATGGCAGGCAGAACAACAAGGCAGGCTTAAATCAAATATTAGCGGCATAGCAATGGGTAACGCCTGGATATCTCCAGTGGATTCTACGCTCACTTGGGGCCCACTACTTCTAGCAGCCGGCCTGGTAGACCAAGAAGGTTATGAACATATCCAAAGTGAAGCTAGAAAAGCCGAAAGCTTATTCAACGAGGGTCAATATGTGAGCTCTACACAACAATGGGCTGCCACACAGAGAGCAGTGTTCCAACGGACTACGTCAGTAGATTTTTATAACATACTCACAAAAATGTCCGTCTCTTTACCGGATACAAGAAGTGATATGGGTAGGTACTTTACTATTTTTATACTATTTCAAAAAAGAGATTCTCGGTTCGCCTATATTTTTGTGTTTATTTGTGTAGAAAGGATTATAGTGAAATTTGTTACAATAATAGACCATTATATCTAAAAGCCTTTTTTTAATAGGTGAGAATGGAATAGTAGTATGGTACCCCGGCTGCGCTATACGTAGACGCTGGCAGGGTACCAGTGAAAGGTTTTTTTTTGAATGGGTGAAAATGGCATGGATACCCCGCCTGCGCGTGGTGAGTATGAAAAGGCAGGTCAGGTAACCTATCGTGACGAATTTAACGATAAATTAGTCACGATAGTTTCCAGGGGAAACCGCGTGGAAGTCGACCTGATAGGGTACATTGATAGCAACGGAGGCTAACCTCCCCATTATTAACAATCTCTTTCCCCCCAGTGAGAGATGTTAAGTAAGGATGAATGTAGGCCCATTGTGACAAATTCCACAAAAATTAACTACGATGTTTTCCAGAGGGAACAGCGTGGATATCGACCTGATAGAGTATATTGCTAGCAAATGGGGTATCTAAGGACCTAACTAGTGTCTCAGACACCAGATTTACGAGGGCAAATAAATGGCAATTTTTTTCCACAAAATAAAATATGAAGAGGAGTTAGAGGCAAATTAAAGTATTACAATAGTAGAAATAATGTTTTCATATCTAGTAGTGTCAACAGACTGATGAAAGTATTGAAACATGAATTATGCATACAGTCCTAAGTAATCTCAAATAAATATTTCATTATTTATTTCTATTAATTGATATCTCACTTCTTTATAAGCGCATTCAAATCGTCATCTTTTATAATTTTACTACTAGGTTCGGAATGTCATTATCTGCAAAGAAGAACCTGCATGAAACTCAAAAGTTATTCTTTTAAATCTTAGTTAACAATATTTGTATTTATTCAAATGTCTAATATAACACGGTCATTTAGCCCGTGAATTATCGACTAACACCATGCATGTTTGTTATTTAAGTAATCGTTTTTATTCTCGAAAATCCGACGATATGTAACCTATAGGTTTTCGGATTTCGGATATAAATACTGCGGATGAAGTGGCGAAAAATATCTAGCGTTTCTTTTAGCGTCATCATCATATCAGCCCTTAACCGTCCACTGCTGAACATAGGCTTCCCCTTAATGGGTTTTGGGCCAGTAGGGGAGACCGAGGAGAGTTGAACCATTTTTTATATTGAAACCCATAACTTTTTCATTAAGCGATAGAAATGATCTTGTATTATACTAAATGAAACCTTGTTTATCTAACTAATAAATGTTTAGGATAAAACTGCTACTACTTCTTTTTTATCCATAAAAAGTTGACTTAAAGACAACTAGTGACTTTGTATCAACTCTCCTCTTACTGAGATAAATTGAAACACTGGTCTAGGAGAGTTGAAACAATTATTATCTGCAAGCAATCCATTATTAAGAAACACAGATTTGAAAGTACCTAAATGTTATATTAAAGTTACAATTATCCTTAATTTGTACTATCAGTTTCATAGTTATAATATTGAGATCTTAGAAAAAAAAAATAGCAAATAATTAAACATTGAAATTTATAGAAAATAAAAAAATAAAACAATCTTAGTTAAACAAATTATTATGGCACCCATAGGACATCTCGCCTTCAGTTCATTCCAGGTGCGCCCATGCCTTACACTCCATATACTGGATCTATTGTTCATTTGGCTTACTTCGTGAAAACGGTTCTACACAAACTCTGCAGAAGCAGTGCTCGTCATCATCATTGCTGCTATCTCCTATTTTACTAGCTTTTCCTGTCTTTCCTTTCTTAGCTTTTCTTTTTGCTGATTTTACTATTTTTTCACTGGTTTCGCAGTTTTTTCTTTCAGGTTAAATAGATGGCTTTTTAATTTATTACTATTTCTTTTGGCTTCAATTGCTGCTATTTCATTTTTCACTGGCGTATTAGTTAATATGGCTGATTTTTACCAGAGGGAGACTGTACAAAAGTCAATTGCTCGGGTACCTCTGTCCCATTCGTGTTTCAACCGTGAAGCAATTGTGTTTGTATGACTGTGTTTCGGTTTGAAGGGTGGGATAAGGCGTGAATTTACAGAGGAACAACACCTAAGTCCTCAGGAATGGCAACGCATGGGGGGTATCATGGACGAAACTGTATACTCTGTTATGTCCATGGTATTGCTCTTGTCTATAGGCGACGGTTACCACTTTCTATCAGGTGGGCCGTCAGCTTGTATGCCATTCTAAGTTGTATAAAAAAAAATTACCTTTTTTCTATTTTGTGTACCTTTCCTAGGAACTGCTTTCGGTAAAAGTCGGATTGTCTGGAGAGAATACACCGAGTGTGGATCTGATGGAAGCTGAAACGGTGGGGCTATCTGATGTTATCAGTGTGAGGACCATCGAAGTCATGATTAGGAACGATATCGTGAATATTAAGTGGATACGATGATACTTCAGCTACATTTGTATCCGTTTCAGAACCTGAATAATTATTTAACAATGCATTAATGACCGAAGGACTTCGAGTTCGATTATCTTCACTTTAAAGTTCAGTTTCTTCTCCTTGGTTAACAGAATTTTCTTGCATAACTGATGATGGCAACGGTCGATCGGTGACTTGATTGGGTAAAAACTCGTCATCGCCAAATATGTCTGTATTGAGCGGTCACAATCCAGTTATCAGAAATCCTGCAGTTATATTCTGTAGGGCTATGATACCCAACTGATGGTAGTTTGGTTGTTTTATTGATTTCGTAGGCTTTTTTTATTTTTAATGTATCTATAAAGCAATGTGTGGGTTAAGTTATAACTTTTGGCAGCATCATGAAGAGTTTTATTACGTAACATAACTTCTTCAGCGGTTAGTTCATATATTTCTTTGCTTGCCATATCTCGGTCAGTCTTCCGTTTGTATTCGTTCGGCATCCTAAAACCTAAGCTAAGCTCAAAGCATACCGTTACAAATGAAAAATCTACTTAAAACAAAATACCAATGCATAACAAAATGCAAACGAGGTGAGTTGAAACAGGCTGTTTCAACTCTCCCAGGGCACAGAAATCGGCTGCCATTAGGTTTGAGCGGACATAACTTTATTACACTACACAATCATGCAAAATCTTTATTACAGTTTAAATCTTAGATTCATAAGCTGGCAAATATCATAATACACTTAGGCTAAAACAGTTAATTAATAAAAATTTAGATGAAGATATTATTATAATGAAAACTTACTTTTATTAATTTTTCACCTGACATTTAATAGCGGCGTAAGCGTTGATCATGGCGCATGGACGAATACTGAGCGCCCGAGCGGGTGGCGGGAAGAGAAAATTAGCAAAGTTGCCAACTTGCTAGTCCTTTTAGGTTCCGAGAAATTTATATCGTTTCAACCCACCTTTGGTTCAATTCTCCTCGGTCTCCCCTAATTGCCATGCTTGGCATGCGGATTGGCAACCGTGGTTGGACTTTAGTGATATTTTAAGACAGAGCATTCAATACCCTTAAAAGCCTTTTACGATACCCATAGCAAAAGAAAAGGGGGCTCATTTTATTCCAAGACGACACAGTGGATTTTTATTATATTTTTCATTAATTGTATCTCTAATAATGGTATGACATAGCGCTCTACTTCATATCGAACAACAAAATAATTAAGTAAATAAGTCATTTAATTATCATTTATAACTATAATACTTACAGAGCGTGCAAGAGACATTATGACTCACAACACGCCTTATATTACAAATGATGACAGAAACGAAGAATGGAATACAAATACATTGATGAACACTGTAGTTAAAGAACTACTTGGCATCCCAGAGAACGTGACCTGGGGTGCACAATCCGGCCCTGTATTCAGTTACTTAAATGAAGATTTCATGAAACCAGTTGACGAAGGAAGTTAGTATTTATATTTATAATTTATTTAAACTCGTCTACTTTAGGTACCTTTGTCCCTGTCGTGTTTTTTCCTTAGAGTAGTTGTGCTAGCATGCCTGGATTTAACTCCTTGCGTTATTGATATATAATAATAATAATAATAATAAACTCTTTATTGCGCACAGTAGAGATGTATACAAGGAGTATTTATACAGAATGTGCATATACAAAAGGCGGCCTTATCGCTAAAAGCAATCTCTTACAGACAACCTGGCAGGTATATATATATATATATATATATATATATATATATATATATATATATATAGATATATATATATATATATATATATATATATATATATATATATATATATATATATATATATATATATATATATATATATATATATATATATATATATTCGAAGAGTACCAGTAAACAGTGATAAGTGAGAACGAAATCAGGATAGAGTCCATTGTAAGAAATTCAATAACAATTAATCACGATAGTTTCCAGAGAGAACTGCGAGGAGGTCGACCTAACAGTTTATACTTCTAACAATGGGGCTAAACGATCCCATTAACTACAATTATTTCCCCCCAACAATCGTAGGAATAGCAAAATACTATAAGCGTTATAATATTCTGTGCTTTTCATGGTGCGCGACGGTTACCACTTTCTATCACATGAATGACAGTTCGTTTATTCGTTAAAAATTTTGATGATAATTATAAACAAACTTCAAGTTCAAATTTTGTCAGAGTCCAATTACATCCTTTTGGGCCTTCTATGGCCATATACTTATTTTATTAAATTGATACAAAGAGTTTTACATGCAGTTGCAGCATCTATTAATTTTCTTGTATTCTACATAAGTCGATCTGTTGATGTTTGACGATTATTCGATGTAAATTGGATTTGATCCCAAAACTATAACGTCAAAAATCTGCCTTCTAATCTATGCTGGCAATGTGAATGTTTCTGAGCAAACTAATAATACAAAAATTTAAAGTAGCCTAGGTGTTTACCTGAGGTCTTGAACCATGAATGAACTTATAATGTAACACTTTTTATTTTTTTAGTTGAAAAGCTGTTAAACGAAACGAATATTATTTTGACCAAGTATAACGGAAATCTTGATCTCATTTGTGATACACCAGGTAAGAATTGTAAATTATTTATTATATTGTATTTAAATCATTATAGTATTAATAAAATTTTAATAGTTTTTTTTTATATAAGTCCAAAAACTTAGATTTTTAATTTACCCAGAAGTCAACGCAGTAATTCCTTCTAGTGATTACTAGTAGACACGATAAATTAAATTATCTAAGTATCCAAAAATCGCCTGGCCGTGTAGTAGCTTTTATCTGTATTGACATCGATAAACTACTGACTTCGACAACTGATTTAACACGAGCATTAATCTTTCAATGTTACTATTAACAGAGCACTGCGTTCTACGTTTTTAGCGTCACGATATAATAGGAGAGCAAAATGTAAGCAGTTGCATACAGACAATTCTGAAATATCGTACACGTCCACGATATCGTTAAATTGTGGATATTCACAATATCGTCGTAGGAAATTAAAAGCGCTTATTTTACAGCGACAATAAAACAGCACGAATGATATTATAAGATTTTACCGTTGCAATATAATAGGAAAGCAAAAGATATGCAATTATGTCATGGCGTGTACGGATATTGAAATTCAATCAAAACTAAAATGTTTATTTAAAACAACTCTATGTACAAAAAGTGTTGATAACTATTAATAATATATTTACAGGACAAATATTATGGGTAGATCGGTTGAAGTGGGCTGGCGCGGAAGAGTACCGGAAAGCACCTCGCCTTCCTATTTGGGAAGATAACACACTGGAAGGGTACTATAAATCATATGGAAACTTTAGGTTCTTTTGGATTAATCATGCAGGACATAGTGTAAGTATTCTTTCACGGTATAAACTTTATTTCACAGAAAAAATACATTTAAAAAGTAATTATTTTTATTGGTTTAGTTCCTTTGTTTAGCAAATATATGATTTATGGTATTTAGACGTCTTTCAGCATTACGCATCACTATCTAATAGTATTTTTTGTAATGATCCCGACCATAAACATTTGCAAAATGACTGTAAATTTGCAAAAATATTTTGTTGTTATTTTTATAGATAAGTATTTAATTTATATAAGCACCTGTCTAAATAGGTAAATAGGTACTATAGAATTATTCATACATTTTTTGTTAAAGGTACCAAGGGACAATCCTGCCGGGGCAAATGCTGTTCTACGCGATATGACTTCATTTGGATAATACCAAATTATCTAATAAGCATACTTAGTCATATTTTTTTTATTACATATTCGTAAAGTCATTTTTATTATAGTTATTAACCTAACACTATTTACCTAACACATTTATCAATTACTGTCATCGTGGCAAAATATAGCACTCAATATCAATTTAATGTTGAACAAAAATGTTCGAAAAGATAATCTTAGTAAAATATCAATTTATTTAGACAAAATTATAATCCAATATATAATATAGATATATACATCAGTACTTACTAGTTTTGTTTTTATTTAACTTAATGTACATTATAAAGGTACATATGGTGGATATAATATCTAAAGGCATTCTCTATCAGTCAACCATGGGGCAAACAGTTAGTGGCGTTACTTTAAAATAAACACAGCGATAATTTTAAATAATAAATAATTGAAAATAACTTTATACAAATATTTACAACATTATATATATATTCAAATAAATACATAAAGCAGATCATAAAAAATATTATCAATAGTTTAAGCAGTAAAAGAAATGTAAATAGAGAATAACTAAAAAGTCAGTACGATGTTCTGGAAAGTAAGCAAGAAATTCCTAGTACAATGACATTATTATTATCCTCATCAGAAAGAAATTTGTTTTTAAAATAATCAGAAGAATTTTTATCCAGGCATTTTCACCTCTATTTAGATAAAATAAAGCATATTAATTAATCATTAGTTTTATTGGTGGCCCCTGATTAGATTATTATCTATAATCCCATACAAGGTAATTTGTATTCAATCATAATTATTGTGAATAATTATGGCCCATAAAATTATTAAAATACTTGTACTTTATTCCTTTGTTTTTATTAAAAGATTTTTTATTATAAATGGATGGTAATGGAATGGTATAAATAGTATAGTAGTATATACTGGCGGGGTATCAGTGAGGGATGATTGGTGAGGATGAAAAGGCAGGTCAGTTGGCCCATCGTGATGAATTCAACGATAAATTAGTCACGATGGTTTCCAGAGGGAACCGCGTGGAGGTCTACCTGACGGTATATATTGATAGCAATAGGAACTTACCTCCCGATTACTAACAATCTCTTCCTCCTATTTTTATTATTTATACACGCCACCAGTTTCATTTCAAGCCCATGGTATGCATGGGAAGTCACTCCTGAGGATTACTAATATACCCCGTCAGGTAAACATTAATGTGGTCCTCTCTGGAAATCATCGTGGTGTCTGGTGAATTCGTCACGATGTACTGACTTATCTTCACTTATCATTTATTCATAAACCGCCAATGTATAATCCGACTGCGAAAGCGGATTGGGTTTTTTTAATGGCTGATAATGAATAGTGAGAAATAATAGGTGAGGATGATGATGAGGTACGTCAGTTAGCTCATCGTAATGAAATCGCTTGGTTTTGAACACGACGATTTTCAGAGGGTTGCAAAGAGGTCGACCTGACAAGATTTATTACAAGTAATGAAGCTACTATACTCCATTATAACAATCTCTTCTCCCTCTGGCGGAATGGGGTTACCATCCCAATTTCACCTTTAAAAAGTACATCTTTTGCATCGTAGGTATAAAAATAAAAGCACAATATTTCTTCGTTGTTTTTAATGCTTCTTAATGACAGAACTTTATATACCAATATTAACAAAGCTTTTTAAATAGTTTGGATTAAATAAATAAATTGAGCACAAACAATAAATATAACATCGTTTTTGTTGTAATATTTCCATTGCTTCTTCAGGTATAATCAGAAAAACAATTGCCTGAAGAGGAAATAATAAATATTACACCAACGAATATTATGCCGGGTAAAGCATTTTCAGATACTACAAAAGTATTATACAAATACCAATTATACATTATATAAATTGAGATAAATTAATGATTTATGCCTATGCAAATTTATTGTTTATGATCAAATAAATAATAATTAAAGAAGTACTACAAATAAAAAAAAAGTATATTTTTAAAAAGTAATAATAATTAATATCAATCAGGTTAGTCTCTAAATAGTTACAATTAAGTATATAATAAAACATAATAAAGACTTTCTCAGAAATATGACCCGTATTAGTTTTTATAAAAATAAGTAAATAAAAGCACTTATTTACGCTGCTTAAAATATGTCAGTGTTTGAACGTAACTAGCATTTAGTATTCCCAATTTTTAAATAAAATCATTAGATATTATTAAAAAAAAATACAGATAAAGTATTTGCCTGATTTTGGAATTAACCCCGGAACTAACCTCTACGGTCACATTCCGGAACTAATTCTCCAATTTCATGCAATCGCAAAAAACACTATAAGCGTTAGCCAATACAATGAAAGCCAACTTTTGCTTTTTAAAACATACATTTAAAAATTTTCTTAATTTATTTAGTTATATATAACAGTAATCACGTTAAAGATAAAAAAAACATACGAAGGAATGTCACCAGTAGAAATTCTAGGAGATTACAAGTTATTATGTCTTAGCATTAGTTTCAAGTTAGTGATATGGCAACACTTTGTGTTAAATATTCGTTATGGTAACACATACGTTCCTTAATAATTTTAGTTTTGAAATATTACAAGATACGGTAACTAGAGTAAGTTTAAAGAGCTTCATTATTCAAAGATATCTACTTAAACCTAGCGATGATTACATTTTCCTTGATAAGTTATAATAATGGAAAGACTTACAGTTAAACATTGTTGTGTATATAGATACGGATATTGTCTAACAACGGACTTTATATAATTGCAAATAATAAACAATATTTTTTTTAAACTTAATAATTATTTAAAAAAGACAGAAATCAGAGTCTACTTGACAGTTTACTTAAATAGATATTTTTTTCTCTACAATCAAATTAAACATAAAATAACAATAACTGACTTATTTCTATTAATATACAGTGAAATCAAATATTTAAAATTACAAACATAGTAAAATACTTTTAAAAGTGTGTTCCACTAGTGAAATGAAATATTTATTACAAAGGAATACGAGTCAACAAACGAAAGAGGAATATTATGCCTCTCCCGCCGCATACACGTCACAAACGGATGAAGTACTCCTTCCTAAAGAGAATATCATTATTTAGATATCAAGTAGTCATTAGTCGATAAAGTGCCATTTGTTAGACAACAGGTGTATTATGTTATTAAATATACAATCATATAGTTTACAAAGTACAAAATATGTCAGCAAGATATGAATTACAAATACTGAGTACAGAGTAAACAATATTACGCTAAACTCCTATAATAGCTTTAAACGAAATATGTAAATTTCTGATAATAAAATAAATATATCTAAAAAGTAATTCGTTATCACTTCACATATTGCCCGTTTAGTCGTACGACCGTTATTATTAACTACGTAATGTACATGAAACCTTAAGCTAGCTTATAAGACATCGAGATGTACAGCGCCTCGAGTTGACCATAGAATTACCATTAGCATAGTATTTGAGTCTTTAAATATTCATGAGGTAATTTAAGAATTTTCTTAAAAAAAAACTAACACAGACTAAATTTTGAAAACCTAAATACTTTCAATTAAATAGAAAGCCGTCGAAATCCGATCACAATTTGTAATGATATGGCGTAATATATACAATAAATAAAAAAAGAAAAACAGTTAAATGACTCGGATTTAAAATCGGCAAAAAAAAAGCACAATGTAGCTATTAACAAAGTACGATACTCATTAGAACCAGATGTCTAAAGTCACCAATTTGATAATTCTCAAGAGGATTCATATTTTGCTCTTCATCTAATTGACAGTTTTCTACAAGAATCCGTAAAACGAGTAATGACTTTTTAATAAGAACTTTACAGTTTAATATAAAATCAGCAAAGACCCTGAAAAATTAAAACAGTAATGATAGGTAACATACTTCAATATACAACCCGAGCTACCGACCCTTCATTCTGTGCTATAAATAACTCACTACAGAAAATTAAAGCATAATTCTAATTAAATACATTCTGGGAATGTTTCAATGTGTCTACATACATATTAGAAAAATATCTGCAACAGGGATGCCGGCTTAAGTCTCAAAGATGGCGCCGTATATATTTTTTTCTTTTTATTGCATGTAAAATGAGCGAAATAACATTAGCATGTACACACATCTTTCCTAAAAAGAAATTTGAAAACAAAAATGTATAAGTAATCCAATTCAAGTTGATTACACCTTAAACTAAAAGACTACTCCAATGAAGTCTCATTCTTTTTTTATTGAAATTATTTAACAGGAGTTTCCGATATTAGAATTTGTAAAATACCGATTTCAAACCTATGCAATCACAGCATAATCAAAAAATTACCAACGCGGTACAAACTCGATTTATGTATAAAAGTATAGTTAGTTGCTTTATAGTAGTAGTTGAATATATCCGTATTACATTAAGCCACTAGAGTGAACTGTTACAATATAACTGCGCCATAGTTTTAGACGAGTCAGCCGCCACCCCTATTTCACTTACACACTCGCATAATATACAAATTTAAAATAATTATATGAGATTAATTCTTTGGAAGTTAATATCAGCTTATTGTACTGTAAATATACGGTAGAACTTTCGTACCCGCGCGGACCGATTAGTGACGCCATTATTTTTTAGTCGCCGTCACATATATAGATAATCTCTTTTTTGCTTTAAAAATCAGTAAGCCGTTCAAAAATCTAAAGTATTATAATAGTACAAAAAGTCGTAAACGCATAATCATTTACATCTATTCTAGTCATCAATATAAGGCAGAAACGAGTATAATTCTAATTTGCATAAGACACTTGTAAATATTTAATAATAATTAAAAGCAAATTATCACGTAAAATAATCCTGAACAAAAATTTACTAGTATTTCGCCAATTCTAATTCGAACATACTTATGCATTCAACCAAGGCGCGGGTATGAGATTATTAGTGTTTTTAAGGAAATCACTAAACGTAATACTAAAAGTAGGTATAAAAAGTATAGGTAAAAAAATATTATACAAATGGCTCTCAACTATCATAATTAAACTTAAAAAAATTTTGAATTGAGATTCACACTTCGAAATTTTCAAACAAATATAATCAACCTTCTAATACTAAGGCGTCATTCACACGACTCCAGCGTCGGGCGCTGTTAGTGCTCGTTAGGGATGGATGCAAAAATACTTGCGTACATTTTGTATATACTAATTTACATAGTTCTATGTCAAGTGCATGTCGGCCCTCAGTGTTCCGATGCATGTTTTAATATATGTATCAATCATCATTGCTATTAGATTCCTAGACGATATTTTGGCATAACTATTAAAGTTATTTTACTAAACGTAACGAAAATATTAAAATAAAAAACAAAAAGATAATTTACAATAATTTAGCTAGTTATGCAAAAAAAAACTGCTCTTAGGACATTACAGGTAAAGAGGATGTTTTTTGAATAACTAGTTCCAATTATCGATTATTCTGTATTAAACAAGAAATCTCGCTATGTACATATAGATGGCCCGAAATGTATGAACGCGGCTAATAGAAGGTACGTCTCTGATGATACGGTGGTATAAGACCGCACGGCGTTAAGTGAACGACGCTTTATACCGTTACATCTATAATGACTCTATGAAAATTATTCAAATAATATTGTTTAATTCTTCACAAAAACAGCACTAACTTATCTGTAGACATACTTACGATAGTGATAATAATTGATATCGGAGATACTTTTCCAATTACTTTCAATCCCATTAATTATAATTAATTAATTTTATCATTACAAGGTAATCACAATTTATAATGAGGATAAATTAATACAATTTTGTAATAATGTCCTACATGTTGGTGTTTTATTTTGTATTTATATAGCATTAACATATCAAGCATATTTATTGTGTAAGTATGTAAATACGTACCAATGTCCTCCATTCCATGTCTATACCAAATTCACAAATAATGTTAAAAAAATACTATTGAGATACTAATAGGTAGTTCTATAAAGAATATAGAAAATAGGCAGATCAATACCATAATATGATATGGCAAATATATTCCTAAATATTTCCTGAGCCACCGCAGATATGTTGATATGAATATGGACTCGTATAAAGAAGTTTAAACGAATATTACAATAAAATGTTACTTTATAGTGTAACATTTTAATATATACATGTGTGTGTACTTATATATCACAATAATAGTATTCAATATAATAAACTTTGTTTAAGAAAGAAATTGGTGTCAAATGTTGTTGAAAATAAATTTTAACAGAATTGTTACACGACTGTAGATTTTGCGTTTTTCAAAATAGTCTTTTACTTTCATTAATAACAGCGAGGTGATACAATTACGAAATTAAAGTCAACTACAACGATGCAAATATTTGATTATTCTAGAACTAATTATAATTAATTATATAACACGCAATTTGTCTACTTTACACTTCTCCTGTTTTTCTGTTCTGTAAATTTAAGAGTCAAACAGTTCCTCGACTACTGTTTGACTTTCGGTTGACTGTCTATATTTAAACGAACATAATTCTATCATTTGCTACTCTATATATATCATAACTTAAAGCATGCTTTAAATCTTAGGAGTAAACATGACAACATAATTATTACATATTCCAGAATCTTGTCTTTATAGTCGATCTTTTCAAGACTTGTATGAGTAGGTACTACCTGTTTACTCTAAACATGTTCAGAAGTTCTTACGTGTACAGAGTAATCAACAGAAATAATTAAATAGATGCCGCAAATGTACCTATTTGTTCACTTGTACTTGTTGAATAGAAAGCTCTTAATCGGACTCTAGCTACATTACACGTAATTGAACATCAAGAACGTCTCTATAATTACTAAAGAATTATAGGTTTCCAATCAGTTTTACGAGGATTCCCACGTATTAAACAAAGCTATTATATTAGTTATTGTTATCGTAGTTAAATATATCGCCACCGATGTGACAACAGATGTTCCCATTTTTAAAATGAATGTGAAAATAGTTTGAAAACACCATCGTCTGCGTGGTTTACGTACTATAAGCGCCTGTTCTATTCTCGTAGAAAACACCCCTTGAAGTGGCAAAAAAATATGGCCCGCCTGCGACATCTATTTAGATTTATCTCTGTAATGTAATCAGATAATAATTAGAGATTCAAAAATGCATTACCGCCATTTGTTGGCTGCTAGTGGCGTGGCTCGGGTTATAGGGGGTTGACGTCAGCTGCTTCGCCGCCCGGCAGCGAGTGTACGCGCGCCGACAATAGATTATGCAGGATGAACACCGCCGGCTTCGGGCTGCCTTCCATGTCCAACTCCTGACACACAAATGTATTTATATATAAATATAGTAAATATTTAAAATGGACTTTAAATAACAATTTACTACCTTTCACACTATAGAGCATCAGCTCTGTTACGACTCACATTAATGTGATGAAATAAACTCACAAATTACGAGTGACTGTCAGATATAAATCAATAATTTAAGTATATTCAAAAGGCAGACAGATAATATAACAGGGTGTATACTTATTGAATATACGCATACTATATATTCATAATATAGTATACATGTATTCAATAGAAATATATAGCATATTTAGATTTAATACTTTTTTTAAACTACTGAGGTGGCAAACAAGCATACGGTCCACCTGATGGTAAGCGGTTATATAAATTTGTTAATTCACAAGAAAATCCAGGACGAAATGGAAAATTTGTGTCTATCGTAAGAACACACATAAGCGAAGTTGCACACTTTAAATACAATCGAATACTCACAACAGTGTCATCGTCGGCGAAGTGCAGCCAGAGCGCGGAGTGGTCGTCGTCGGCGGAGGCGCGCAGCGCGTGCAGCGGGCGGCGGTAGAGCGCGCGCGCGCCGCCGCGGCCCAGCGAGCCGGCCGCCTCCCACACGCACACGCCCGCCGCGCCCAGCGACAGCCGCGCGCACGCGCCGCGGAACCGGCAGCGGAACGTGAACTCGGCCTGCGCGCGCACCGCCTGGTGCGCGCCGTCCACCAGCGCGCCCGCCACCGCCGCCAGGTCGTGCGGCGTGTCCGCGCGCAGCGCGCGCACCGCCAGCCCGCCCGCCGTGCCCGCGCGCACGCCCAGCGCCGCCGCGCCGCCGCCGCCGCCGCCGCGCCGCCGCCGCCGCCGCCGCGCCGCCACCACGCCAGCCGCGTCGCCGCCAGGCCGAAGCTCTCGGTAGGCGCGCACCACGCCTCGCCCGACCACGGCGCTGCCTCGTACAGCCTGCCGCGCGGCACCATCCGCATATATTTATTCGGGGACTCAAATAATACACTGAATATATTTATTTAACGCCTACAAGTACAGACTCCGCATAGAGGAATTAAATACTTTGTAAATAACTCACCTCAATTCTCGATCGGTAATGGCGACGAACGTCGGTTGCCAACCTTCCGCTTCGTCGGAGCTATCCGACCCGCCAGAGGCGCTCATCTGTAAAATTATAGACAAATATATACAAGAGTGATCGAAGGCACTCAGTTCTCTCCGTTTGCCCCGCGAGGAATTTTGCGTAAATGTATATAAATAATAAATAAATGTAGCGTAACATAAATGCGTATTGGAGTTGGTGTAGTGCGCGGTACGGACATGGTCCTGCGGCGGGCGGCGCGCGAGCCAGCCGGCGTAGCGCACGTCGCCGAGCAGCGGGCGCAGGCGCGGGCGCGCGCGCGCGAGGGCGGCGCGGGCGGCGCGGCGCGCGGCCGCGTGCAGCGCGCGGTGCCAGCCCGCCGCCGCGCCCGCCGAGCTCGCGCGCAGCGCCAGCGCGTGCACGCCGTCCGGAGAGTACACTTCGATCGTACGCTCCTCTGTGGAACACGATAAAATCACCTTTAATCTATTACAATTGTTTACGAGCGCTATTAAGTTGCAATTATTTTAAGATTCAACTGTTACGTTCAAGATCTTGTTATATATTAAAAACTTATAAGAAACGCAACAGTTACTATTAAATTAACCTGTACATAATTTACGTGTTAGTTGACTTTTAATTATGTACAGATTAATTTTACTTTTAATTTTTTATTTTGTAGGAGGACTGAGATTTGATGGACTATAATTTGCATTGAATTTTATTTACATGCATTATTCAAAATAAAATATCACCATCAATCATAAACAGTAAACGTCAGCAGACCAGTCCTCACAAACAGCAGCTGTTCACAAGTATGACTTAAGAGGCAGCCATCATTGCATTCAACCATATTTTAGGAACCCGGTTTCCGATGCCGAGCTTATAGTGAGCATATCTTGTTTCAAGTTACTTGATTGTATCACGAATATTATTTACTATATGAAACAATAAAAATACCCATCTATTACAAGATTTGAATTGTCACATGACTATAAAACAATTCATTTAATATAATTAAAAAATTTGATTCACATTATTAACAATCCTATCCCAACCAATGTTACCTCAGATGGTCCCAAGGTCTCTATGTATGCCTGTTCAGCTCATCACAGAATCCTTGCCATGTTTATAAATAAAAGATGGTACACTTGCCTGGATCATGGTGCCTTAGATTCTTGGCTACACAAGCCATCAACAAAGGCACATAGCGAGTATCTGCACGACGTCGCCGCGGCGAAGGTGGGGAGGGTGGCGCCTCTGCCATATAACCACGCTGCAGTTCCCAGCCAACCTCACTTATGATTGAAGCTTTACGGAAATAAGGTGTCACCTCTCGCAAATATTTTACTAAAAAAAATAAATTTATTAATTAACTTCTCACTGTTCTTATTTATAAGTTATTTCTTATAGCCTAATAAGCCACTATCAACTTTTGCAGATATACGACTTTTTAATGAAACTTTGTTTAAATGACAGGTGAACAAAAATATATTGTGATTGTCTACTGTTAGTTAGCAGCAATCTAGGGTAACCATTGTAGATTGTTGTTTCTGTAGTATTGACAATCCAGAATTTTTGTGTTTTTGTAAAACATATCACACAATTGTAAAATATATCTATTTGTAGTTTGCAATTTTATAGAATAATATCAGGAACTTGATATACATTTTTTTAGAACAGTAATAGCTAATAATCAAAAACATCTTTTGTAAATCAAGATAGGAAAAAATACTGAAGAGGGACTTATCAAAAACTACATCCGGAGTATCCTATTAATAGTCATCATTTTCCTACCCTTATCCCAATTTCTTTGGGGGTCGGCATAATAGGTTTTTTATTCATATTACAATAAGATTTGGTTTATAGTTTTACGATTGGTCATCCACCTGATGTCAACCCTCTTTGGGAATGCATTTGTTGGTGAGTACCGCCACCTACAATATGAAGGAAAGGATTGAGGAAAAAAGGAAGGAAATGCGTTAAGGAAATTGGTAAATAAGAGGATGAGATGAGCAGAGGAGATTTTTATATATTGACAATTGTAGTTTTTTATAAAAAAGAATATTTAAAAACAATTGAAATAGAACAAAATATACATATATAATACTTTAAGTCAACAGACGGCATTTTTACTTACAAATAATATAATTAATAAATAATATATATATAACAAGAACCAGCATATTTTACAAACATGTGGGAAAGGAAAAGTGAGAACACTACAGTTGCGGAAAGGATTGGGGCACTGCAGCGGCTCGAAAGGCTGAGGTTGCATACCTGTATGCCCTTATTTTAGAATCGACAGATATCTAGAGAATGACACCCCTGATGCTAGTATCCTATTAATGTTATAAATGTGAAAGTTTATAAGGATAGATGGATGAATGTTTATAACTCTTTCATATAAAAACTATTAAATGGATTTGAATGAAATTTGGTTAATGGTTAGGTTATATCCTAATTTAGCACATAGGATACTCTATGTACTGTTTACTGTTTTTGAAATATAGCACTAGAGAAATTATAGAGAAAATAGCCAAAAGAATCGAGTTAACAATAAAGAAGTCCTAATTAAACAATATTAAGTTAGTTTCCATACTAAAACTGCACACAATGATATAAACCTGGACATGAGTATGACTAAGTGTTAGTAATTGAGGTCAATTGACAGAGGCCATAGGAAGAGCTAAAAAGTATGAACTGTACAATATACAAATGTTTTAAGTACACATATCATAAGATATTGTTTCCTACTTATACATAGTATTTAAATTACTGAAAATATTATATACTTGCCTTCTAACTGAACCATTTTCCCTGCTCTTTTTAAAGCTTTTACTGCTTCTTCATGTGTTGCATCCTTCAAATCTTCCCCATTGACTGACAAAATAGCATCACCAACATATAACTGTTCTGTTAAATCTGCTGCCATACCTTTGAAAATTTTTGATATCAATATAGGCATATTGTTCTCTATGCCACCTTTTATTGATATCCCTAAGCCATTATTATCAGATTTTACCACTTGCACTAAACGTTTTTGATTTGCTATAGCTTCGGGTACCTCTGTAAAGTCACTGTTAGGAGTCTCCACATTGTTATTATTAAGTGTCCCATTAAGAGTAGTGGTCGCATCGTACCCATCGTCCAAACATACACTCAGATAATCATCCTCCAAAGAGCAATGTACTCTATACCATACACCGCGTACCAAAGTTTCTAGAAGTCCAGAACGGGCACATGTTGCATTAGGGCTATCGCTGCCCCCACTTGATGCACCGTTCTCTACCATAATTTTAATCCTGCTGCCTAATTAACCACAACAAATGACAAGAACATTGAAACTCGTACTAAATCAAATTGAAAACAACCTACATAAACTGATTCATACACTGGAAGACGCAAAATAAAAATTCACTTCATCTTTTATTTGTCATTTATTTAATTGTGAGTTTAAATCGTTGAGAATTAATTGAAATTATTCGCATAAATATAAATTAATTGCACAATCAATATACATATTTGACGTTTCGCCAGGGTTACCAGGTTAATTTTTACCCAAATTTTATATATTTTGCTACATTTTATAATAGATACGAATACGATTTTCATTTTACCTAATCCTACGTGTTATCATGGAATCACAAAATAAACGACAAAAAACAATTTGTCCTTTTCAATGCTCCGTTTCTCTTATTCTGTTTTGCTATTTGCATTGATATATTTTATTGTATCTATGTACTACTGTACGATTACAAATAATAAAACTCTTAAAGAAATTTCCCTAAATTTCTCCAATCCCATTTAAGTTTTCTCCAAACATTTTTTCAAAAATTTCACTTGCTCATTCACGTTGCAATTGAATTTCATTCACGTACTCAATTTATTTTACCCAAATTTGCGAAAAAAATATCTAATATGGCAATGCTGTGTTCCGCCCAGCTTACGTTCGGAAACGTTCATAACTAAACATTTTGCATTTATTAAAAAAATGTTTTTTAAATAACATAGACACATGACTGCGACTATTTCAAAAAACATAAGTAATATAAAAGTATTTTTTTTTTATAAAGTAACTGGATTTTTCTATTCTCTTATGCGAGTGAAAGGTTTTATCTATGTATAAAGTATATATGATAAGTATGTAAGTGTATCTGAGAATTCATATACGCCTTTTTTAAATGATGGCCCATAGGGTAATTATTCTATTATTACCTAAAAAATTTTTTTCCGCCAATTTTTAGTCACCAAAATTACGCGAATTATTATTATCCGGGAGGAAGTGAGGGCCAGGCTGGCCATTAGAAATAATCACATTGTCATTAATAAGCGTTGCTGGCATCTTAGCATGGGCACCAAATAATTTTGCGGTCTATCTGGCCCATCGCCGAATGTGGTGCCACCTGACATTCTTTTTGTAATTCTCTCTCGTTAATATTCCTCGTTGTTACTAATATTATAAAAAGTGTTTTTTTTTTTTCTTTGTTATCTTTTAGCGCCTTAACAATTTAATTAAATAATTGTTTTAATTAAAAATCTTTATGAAATTTAGCATATATGTAATAGAAAGAATGGAAAAGGATAAATGGTATTTTTTTGTCTGTCAGTAAATATTGTATATATAATATATTCTTTACTGCACTTGAAAAAAGAGATATAACGCTTAGATTAATAAATAGTTAGCAAGGGTGAGCTTATTTCTGAAGAGGTTTCTTCCAACCAACCCAATGCAGTAAGAGAGAAAATAATTAGTGGGTAATCTAGTGCAGGAAAAGTACAGGAAATAAGATATACAAAGTAAATAGAATACAAACTAAATAAACATACACAAATTGAAAAAAAAAATACATTACGTCAATACAATAAAGATTTTACAATTAAAATCTTTATTGTACATAATTTACATTGGACACATTAAAAAGATTTTATATAGAATGACGGACTTATCCCATAGAGGTATACCTTACAGTCAACCTTTGAGAAGATGAAAGGAAACTATAGAATGTTCAATGGTAAAAACCGCACAGCTAAAGATAATACTCAATAATACCTAGTTAAAATTAAATATATAATACAATAAGAAGTAATTGTATAAACTTACATAAATAAATAATAAAACAAAAAAGCCTTTTATTTTATTTTATAAAGCTATTTTATAAAGCAAAGAGAAAAAAATATTACATGCAATTTCATTCAGTAACAATTATTTACTTAATAAAATAAATTTATAAAAAATATTCAATTAATTACATAAATTCTTCATTATTGTTTATATATATGTATATATATATTTTCATATAGTTTTATATAGTTTTCCAAATGTTTCTGTCCTTTCCGAATCCCGTCCAAGTAGGGCCTGCCACATCATTAGATCTAGAACATTAGATCTTCCGCGTGGTCTTGTTTTATTTCGTGGATACCAATACAACATTTTTTCGCTTCATTGCCCATCTGTTGCCCTTGCTAAGTGTCCTGCCCACCTCCATTTTAGTCTACAGATCAGCTCAGCAGCATCGATAATCTGTGTAATTTCCCTTATATCTTTATTTCTTTTTCTGTCTTTAAGATTCAGCCCTATCATGCTACTTTCTGCTGTTCTTTGGAACACTTGAACTTTGTTTAGGGAATTTTTGGTCAGTGCCCAACTCTGACATCCATACATCAATGTTGGGAGAATGACTGTATCCATTACCTTCTTTTTCAGTGTAACAAGTAACGTTGATTTAAAGATTTCCCTTAAAGACCAGTATCTACACCAAGCTTTTCTGCATTGTACTTCTGTATTGGTCGGAATTGTAAAGGATATGTTCATCCCTAGATATATATACTCTTCCATATAATCAATACTTCGTGTCTCAATAATAAGAGTTTTTTTTTTTCTATTGGTCATAACAAAGGAGTTAATTTTCAAGCCACATCTTTGGCTCTCTTTATTTAAAGTGTTGAGCATGTATTCGACATCTTTATAGTTTTCAGAAATCACAACAACATCAGCAAAACGCAAATGATTTAAATATTCATCATTGATATTAATTCCCAGGTTCTTCCAATGTAATTGCTTAAATATATATTCTAGTAACGCAATAAAGAGTTTGGGTGAAATGCGGTTTCCCTGTCATATTCTTCTTTTTGAGTCAAATGGTTTTTTTTTCACGTTCCAAATTTTACTATAGCTTTACAACTTTTATATATTGTCATCAATATTTCAAAATAGCTTTCTTCTACACTTTGTATTAGTAATGCTTTCCACAATGGTTCATGTAAAATTGAATCGAATGCTTTTGAATAATCAACAAAAACAACGTATAGCTCCTTTCCGTATTCTGTATATTTTTCTATTAGTTGAGTCAATATAAACATAAAGATATAGTAAATAAATAGTAATAAGAAATAAACAATAAAATAACATTAATACATAAATAAAAAATAATAATAACATAGTCTGATTACATGGACGAAGTCGCGGGTAATAGCTAGTATTTAATAATATATATTCTAATACAATAAACACAATTTGTTTATACATTTCAATTGATAAGACAATAATTATATTTTAGTAATATTTAAAATTCTCTATGATAATATTGAAATCCAAATCTATAAAATTTTAATTCAAAATTTTATATACTTAGGTTAGTCAGGACTCCTGATTCAGGAGGCTATAGACGGTAGTACGCAGGTATGCACCAACAAAACAAATACTTAACATTATGTTGTAATTTGTAGTATTTTGTTATATAAATGGGAACGGCGATGAATATGTTGAAACATCGGATCTGATAAAAAGTGGACTGTATAGACAACAATGAAAAATTACATAAAATGTGTCTCCAATAACTTAATTTTACTACCCAATTGCAAATGTTAAAAGACTGAAATATATTTTCCAACAAATAAATATTTTTTTATTGCACTCAGATATACAGTAATAATAATAAATAGAAATAATATGGGTAAAGGCGAATTATTTCTAAAAAAAAGGTCTCTAATACTCATAATTAAAAGTAAAAAACAAAATTATGGATAACAATTTATCACAATCATTGCTTACGATAATAAATTAAATCAGGATACTTAGGTACAGATAGGATATTCAGAGTATAATATTATATTATCTATGTGTTAGTTATCTTGACGATTAGTTAGATTAATTCTAACTTGATCTTGTAAGTATTCCTATCCAATTACCATTTATTATCAAATAAAATCTGATAACAAAATTTATGAAGACATATTTTAATTATCAGCATACAGTCGCTTTTAAATCAACAGGGTTTTTGGATGGCTGGTAGATGACGTGATAATCATTTCAGTATGAAAAAACCTATATTACTCGGTATAAGTTTAGCTATTATTGTAGGAGCCGGGTTAGGAGTGTTGATTTGGTGGCTTGTTGCTGGACGCCATTCCTCGTTTACCACAATACGTAAGTAATATTCATCATCATTATCATTATATCAGCCGTGAACTGTCACTGCAGAACATAGGCTTTTCCTTTTTGGAATTTTGCCAGTAGTAGTAATATGCTTGTCAGGTGAGTTTGCAACCGCAGTTAGCTTTTTATGATGTTTTAAGACACCCACAGCAAAGGAAGGGTTGGTATATTCTATGCCGGGACCACATGGCGTAATATCCATACATCTAATCAATCTGTGTTTAAGGTGGGTGGAAAGAAGTAATTAAGATTAGTTACGAGAACTACGAGTAGCGGCCCCTTTACTAGTTTTTTTTTTATTGGATGAAAATAAATAGTGACTCCGCCTACGCTATCGGTATATACTGGCAGGGCGCTAGTGAGGGATGATAACTGAAAATGGAACAGCTCTGTTGGTCCATCGTGACGAATTTTACCATTATTAACCATGGTGGATCCCAGGGAAACCGCGTGGATGTCGACCCGAGAGAGTATATTGCCAGCAATGGGGCAGTTAGATCCCATCACTAACATTCTTGTCAAATTCGTCTAGTAGACTAGGAATTACAGACAGACATTTTTATTCCAGTACTAGAAGAAAATGCCCTAGGAACTATACCATACAATGCTGCGTTCACAAGAATACGAGGTGCTGGTGACATCTTTTGGTGGTTTTACCCTACTACGCGATCTGACCCGAGTTCACAACCATTGATCCTATGGCTGGATGGGGTCACAGGCATACCCCCGAGTCTCCTCGCTAATTTTGGAATGTTCGGACCTTATGACTTAAATATGAACGAAAGAACAAACTCATGGGTATGTAAATATAAGGATATTGCTTATCTAGTGACTTATGAATTAATTCTCGTATGTCCGGTTATGGAGAAAAAGACACGAATAAAAACTAGTTTTTTTTTTTTGTTTCTAACAGGCCTCCATGAAAATCAACGTTGTAATTCAACGACTGCCGCACAATGATGAGCGTGGACCTTTTTAACAAACAATAGTTTATTTTTTGATAAATATTACTAAAATTTTTGTGTATGTAACACGATATATTTGACAATTCTAAACCGATTTAGACAACAGGATTAATTCTGTACTAAATATTCGTATCTAATATTGTCAAGGTTTAAAAGAAATTGTTTATATTATGAAACAAGATACATACTGAAGGTTGATTTTAGCCTATACCAACGTCAAAAGGTTTTTACTCATGTGTGGCTTCTGAGAAGTCTTAAATCTCCGGCACTCTTTTTAGTAGACATTCAAAAGATATTAAAATGTGAATGTTATTTTTTTTTCAAGGTTGACAATTATAATTTGCTATTTGTGGATGCACCTTTGGGTACAGGCTTTAGCAAAGCAGAACGTGACAACCAAATTCCCAAATCTCTCGAGCAAAACAGTAAGTGTATTAATATTACTATTTTGTTTCTAACACTTCCTTTTTGAGTGAGGGCGCTGCTTCACGGCAAAATTTATAAGACGGTGGCGCCTGTACTTTAGTAAATCTCTAAAATGATGAATAATACTCGTTTACTCGTACCATATTGAAAAAAAATTTAAATTATTTCAAACTGATCATAAGTTAAATTATTAATATATTTTTTCACCTAGTGGTCCGATTTATGAGTGCGAAAGGCCTCCGCTGAAAATCAACGTTGTAATTCAACGACTGCCGCACAATGATGAGCGTGGACCTTTTTAAAAACAATAGTTTATTTTTTGATAAATATTACGAATTACTTATATGATATATAGTAATAACTGTTTGCCTACTGTTTTGTTAAATAAGTGATGCTTATTATTATTATTATTATTATATTCTCCAATTTTCAAAGAACAGACTAAGAAAAAAAAATTTGCGTATTATTTTTTATCTACTAAATTACAACTATAACAAATATGGATCTAAAAATTTTACCTAATAGTTATTCTCTGTTATTATGAGCTTTAAGCGTTCGTCTGCAGAATTCTCAAATATGAGATATATACTCAGGACATCTAATATATGTTTGTAAATTTATATTGTAATTTGGTAATATGGAGATATGATCATTTTGTTCTATATATTATACATGCTATTTGTGTTTATATTATCATTGACAAAATTATGTTAGTATTTAGATTATCTGTATTTGATTTGACTCTATGAACTGCAGAATTCTCAAATATAGATATATACTCAGGACATAGTATCTATGAACTAAGTAGTTAAATAGCTATATAAATTTTTATTTTATTTAATTTACAGGCAATCATTTACTTAACGCCTTGGAGTCATTCTACAATCGTAACAGTAATTACACGACAACTCCTTTATACATTTTCGGCGAAGGGCACGGTGCACAATTAGCGTTAAGTTTGGCTATCAAATTGGCGGAGGTAAGTTTTAAACACTCAACTGATCTAAATCATCCATATATAGATAAACATTCCCATAGCGAAAATTGAGCGGCTAGTCTCGCCACAATAATAGTTTTAATATTTAATTTTGTTTGTTCTGTCAGCTTTAAAGCATTACGGTGCCTATTCGTACATATACTTCAACGCTTTCATGATGAAAGGAATATGTTCAAAAAGTATATGTAGTTATCCATAGACTCCTTGCGTCAATCTTTGCCTAATTATTTACATGTTTAAATTTCCTTATCTATCTTCATATGTAAACTCATTAGGTATAAAGGTACAAATAAATGGCATGACTCCCTCCCACCCCCACCCGACTTCCTTGACGAGTGCGACGATATCCTTCTGGCAAATCTATAAAGGACTACTTGAGTATTGTTATGAGCTTTTTTCTTTATTTTTAATTAAAGTGTACTTTCATAGGATGCACCTTTCGAGCACAATCTAAAAAGAGTGGTCATTGGCAATGGAATCATAGATCCAACTATTGCACTTACCAAATTGGGCTTTTATCTTGAAGAGCTTGCTTATGTTGACAACAATGGACGTAATGTATTGGAAACATTTTCTAATGAAACAAGGCAGTTGGTTGCCGACGGTCAGAATGGAGAAGCTTTTGACAAATTCCTGTCGTTAGGACGAGTGATCAATGAAGAAGCTGGTGCAGTAGCTGTTAACTTGGCCTTTATTGCGGATAAACTCACTCGAGAATCAACAGCTGGTAATATTTCTTTTTTATTTATAATATGGATTAAACAGTAAAACAAAAAAAAAAAAAAAAAAAAACGACCATATCAATTCGCGACTTTTCACAACCTGAAAATTTGAAATTATTAGCATTATTAAGATTAGCGAACAATAAACGACACTACCCATTGTAGTTTATAATGATCAATCAGTTATTTTTAAGTCATTATACAATTTAACAATTTTATATGGAAACAATAAGAAAATCTTTTATTTTTTGTACCATTATGATATTGCAGAAAACGACAACTATCTATAGTATATATATATATATATATATATATATATATATATATATATATATATATATATATATATATATATATATATATATATATATATATATATATATATATATATATATATATATATATAGGTCGTGGATTTTGGAAGAAGTTACACATTTCTAGATGTCGTATCAAGAACATACACTAGACAAGTTATTGAGAAATTATTGATTTATAATTAATTATCGATGTTAATAATTTAGATTTCAGCCTGAATAATGATACAAAAAATTCCTTTGTATCTTTAAATCCAATTTGGATGTTTTAATTTAGTTGCAGACGACTTTGGATTAAGGAAATATGTTCAAGATGCTTCACATTCTCGGTCTGATATTTTGAAGTTTATGGACGAAACGGTAGCTCCTGCTCTCGGCATTTCAAACGACAGAGTTTACGACGAGGGTCGTGTGGCCGTTCTGGAAGCTTTCAGGAATGTTTTCCTATTGCCAGCTGTTCACTTGAGTAAGAATATCCCTTGAACTTTATTTATATTTGACGGGAACAACTAACAATCTGAAGGTCCTCCTAATTGAAAGTGGCATAACAATGGGATCTAATAATCCCATTGATACCAATATACTTTACGCGGTAAACCATATATGATCTCTATGCGGTTTCTCCTGTAAATAATTGTGATTAATATCCGGTGAATTTGTCACAACGGGGTAACAGACCTGCTTTCATACTTAGCTACTATCTCTCACTGGTACCCCACCAACATATACTCTCGTATACTACTCATATACTATACATAAACTCGATATCGCAGGCACTGTTCCATTACTATTCATTAAAAAAATGGAATGTAATAAGTTTTAAAAATCGAAGATATGGAATAAACCGTATCGCCCATATAACCTTGTAATCCAGATCCATGATTCCGCAAATTTGCCTGTATGAATTTGGATAAAAAAAGAAAATTAAAAAATGCAGCTGTGTTTGCTTGGCTGTGTTATAGTTTAAAGAGTAGGATATGACCGTGAAATTACATGTATGAAGGCTTAATACCGTAGTCTTTAGGAATGGCAACGCATGAAGGATATCATGGCATTACAGTACACACTCTGTGCAGCGGCGGCCTTAGGGGGTGGCGAACAGGGCAATTGCCCGGGGCTTCGCTCTTGTTGGGGCTTCGCGTAACAACCCAAGCAAATTTTAAACAACCAGTGAGTGAGTGAACAAAAACTTCCTGAATTAGGTATTTTAATCTAGAATAAACAAAATTACTAACACTAAATTATACAAATAAAAAAATTGTAAAAAAAATGTAAAATAAGACAGTTTTTTGAGTCAGCGGAAAATTACTTATTACTATTTGTTATTATTATATTACATGACAAATATCTCAATCAAACAACCATACCTAGTTTCGTATCATATACTTTTCATGAAGGACAAAGGGCCTCGCAAAGACCTACCGCCCGTAGCCTCGCAAAGACCTACCGCCCGGAGCCTCGCAATGGGTAAGGCCGCCGCTGACTCTGTGACTCTAAAGTGCTGTTCAGGTCTAAAGGTGAGGATGGACAGTTTCCATCGGATAGCTGTCAGCATGTTTGCATATACTTAGTTGTTTACGTTGCTGCTAGTGTTACAACGCTGTGGATTATAGTTGTATGTTGTCGGATGTTATTCAAATCTATTCAGCTATTTAAGTAAGATAAATGATCTGTGAAAATATATAATCATCAATTTCCTGCTATTATCCCGATTATTAGGTTTTGGTACAAAGTTTTAGCTTTTGGTTTTAAGACTCACCGCCTGCTTGATGTCAACCCTCCTTGGGAATGCATTTGTTTGATGGTGCGATGTTACTTAATATATGTAAATGCAATAAAATATTTTTATTATAATTTTCAGTTGAATACATCCTACAGAATACAAATTATGCGGTTACTATATACAATGGTAATATGGATGCAGTATCGAACACCCCTGGTAGGTACCTCATCATTATCAATATATCTAACTACCTAGATCTTCCATAAGCTGGCGGGCACAAAAGCAAATATTAAGAAAAGACTTACCGTATACCAAATAAATAACTGGACGGGAAATATTTTCGGACAATGATGAGTTGTTGTTTCGCAGTTATATGTTTGTAGTACTTATGTATTTTATTGATATTCTAAATAAATGAAAAACATCTATTTACAGAATGTTAAAAGAAAGGACAAGTCACTATTATTAATGTACTAATTATAAAATTTACTAATATTATAAACGTGAATGTTTTTGTTTTTTACTTCTTAGCGCTTTAAAAGCTTACTTAAAAATTTGGTACACATACTATATGGGGTGAAGAAGGACATAGACTATTATTTCAATTGGTGAATACATCCGCGTTACGCGTACACAACTACTAGTACATATAATGAGAAAAATGTGATATATTATTCTTCTCGATATTTAAAAAAAAAAAATTTTTTTCTGCTATACTACAATAATAAGCAAATTTTACGGAGTTATATTTTTTACTACAAAATTATAACGGCAATAAAGATGACGGGCCTACTGATGGAATGCTGTAACTAGTGGCTGTAGACGTCAATAGCACAAAGAGATTTACGAGTACAAAATATACTGTGACACCAATGCCGTTTCCATTCCTGAAAACTAAGACGTTGCTTTTACTTGTTTTAGGTCAACTGGAATGGATTGAAAATCTTGAATGGAGCGGCAAAGACGAGTTTATTAGCAGCCCCCGTAGGACTCTTATTGTAAATAGTCGAGTGGAGGGTTACTTCCGAGAAACACCAAGGCTACAGTTCTATTGGATGAACGCTGCAGGACTATCAGTACGTTAATTTTAAATTCTTGAATTTTTTTAATTATAATATGCAAGAAATAATAAAAATAGCGTCGGGTTCTAACTATAATATCTGTACGTTCTTCACTCATCATCGTCATCCTTTTTTTTTTTATTTAGAGTCGGCAGAATGTTATCTTTCATTCTATTCATTCTTGAAATATTGCTTATTATTTCAAATAATTTCATTATTTTCTTGTGATATAACTAACATATTATAAAAATACCAGAGGGAGACTTTGTACAAAAGTCGTTTGCTTGGGTACCTCTGTCCCATTCGTATTTTAACCGTAAAACAGTTGTGTTTGCAGGGTTGTGTTTCGGTTTGAAGGGTGGGATATAGCGTGAATTTACAGGTTACAGAGGAATAACATCTGATTCTTCAGGAATGGCAACGCATGAGGGGTATCATGGGTGAAACAGTATACTCTGTTGTCTATAGTACTGCTCATGTTTATAGGCGACGGTTACCATTTTCCGTCAGCTTGTTTGCCATTCTAAGTTGTATAAAAAAATATTTAGTGGGAATTTATTAATGGAAAGGTCAATTGGCAATTAATATATTTTGCTTTATTTCAGGTTCCATTTGATAGCCCAGTTGCTATGAGACGAGTTTTGGAACGTATTCTAATTTGATAGTAGTAGTATTTTGTTTAGTACCTACTAGAAGTACTGATGATCGAAAATATAAAAGACTACTTCATTCCTAATGTTTATTTTTTCTTAGACTTTTTCATATTATGAAATAATAAAATTATTTGGTCAAATTTAAAAGTATTCATAATCTTGGAACTTGAAACTTCTTAACTAAGAAGTTTATTATTATTTACTTGCCTACCTTAAATATCTTTCCTGTTATTTAGATGAAATGGAAATTATTAACATCCTTCAAAGCGAGTGTTCTACTAGTAAAATTGAACATTTTCATCAAAGAAATATGGATCGAAGAACAACAGAAAATAAATTTTGGGCCTCCTATAGTAACACGGTGCATGCAGTATTAAAAGTACCTATTAGGGGAGACTGAAAATGTTTTCAAATTTTTTATTCATAAAATTTCTCATTTAACGAATTTAAAATTCTAAAACATATATTGAAAATATATATATATAACTTTTATTTGATCATCACATTTTAGTATAGTTGATATTTTGACATTGTATGAAAGTACTACTAATAGTATTATTATTACTACTTAGAGAATATTACTATTACTAAATAGTAATATTCTCTAAGTTTGTAAAATGAACGTGAAAGAATTTTTAAAATAGGTTGAGTAGTTTTTAACTTCATTCATTACAAACAAATTTATAGTGTCTATAAATAATAGGTATTAAGAGTGTTTGTTTATTAGCTTGTTACCTCTTAGCGATTGACTGGCTTAATTAATCACTATGGAATTTGATAAACATATAACACATACTAAATGGGATGGAGAATGACAAAGGCTACTATTTATCCCGGTCAGTAAACACGTCACGCAGACGAAATCGCGGGTAAATAATAAAATAATGACATTTTAATAAAGTTTATAAAATAAACATTATAACAGTAGTCGATATAATGAAATTTCATCAAGAAGTCGCAACACAAACGGTCAACTATAAATTAATAATAAGAATTTTGGTTCTTAAATTACTCAACAGAGGCAGCACCGACAGTCTTAAAAAGACTTAGATAACGTACTGCACACATTTGACGACAACACATCTAAGGTCTATGTTTCAATGATGTAGATAATGATATTTAAAAAGTATATGCCTATATATAGATATATCGATAGATCGCTGAATGTTAACATTATTTCGCTCACTGGGTTAACTACTAAAATATTTATTATTTTAATAGGTAACCCAGTAAGATAACCTAAATTAAAATTTAGTATTTCTCATTATTTGTTTTAGAATATTTCTTTCTTTTAAAATAAAATAATGTTTTACTGATAATGTGATACAATTTGTATTTTGACAAGCCGGAAACTATTAATTTCATGTACATAATGGCTTCCATGTTAACTAACGCATTTAAACGGTTGCAAATTTCAACAATTTCGCAAATTAGAGCAGTTTCCTCGAATACAGCACCATCAAATGATTCTTTAGTTATTACAAGGAAAGATTGGAAATTCCCACCAACTTATACTAAACCACGCGAAGTATGGATTGAAAACATAGATACAATTGAAGAGAAAAAGATTGGTTTATTTGAGTTGCATCCTCTTGTGTATGCAAATATGCCACGAATTGATATAATACATCAAAACGTAACATGGCAGAAAAAATACCGATGGGTATCGTGGGCTCATACTAAAACTCGAGCCGAAGTACGAGGTGGAGGCAGAAAACCATGGCCACAGAAGGGTTTGGGGCGTGCTCGACACGGATCCATTAGATCTCCACTTTGGCGCGGTGGTGGTATCGCGCATGGGCCACGTTCTGGCAAAACGCATTTCTTTATGTTGCCATTTCATTTAAGAATATATGGACTGACATCAACATTATCATCAAAACTGGCTCAAGATGATCTTCATATTGTTCAAAATTTAGAACTTCCTACAGAGGAACCTGAATATTTAAATGAATTGATAGAGAGAAGAAACTGGGGTCCATCTGTTTTAATAGTTGATGAGTATGTATCATGATAATTAATTTTATACTCATTTCTTTATGACTTAAAACTGGTAAACAGATAGCTCCTCTGAAAGTGAATAACACTTGTTACCAGTGAACATCATCAGAACACTGAAATATTTATATTTTTTGTCTTTCATTATTCTATACTTTGTAATTGTACTGTTTTAACTTACCAAACTAATATATATATATATATATATATATATATATATATATAGGCTTCAGAAATAAAAATGAGCTATACTTTGTAAAAAAAGTCATTTTAAATTGTAACTGCAATTCTACTCATAAACCTTTGTTTAGAGTTAACATTATTTTTCTAAAGTATAATCTCTAGTGTGGGTACTAGTAAATGATAAGTATATTCTCTGTGGAATAAAACAGATTACAGATATGTTCTTTACATTTTATATTTCAGTACGGATTATGCACCTCGGAACATAACAGCCGCTATAGATGCTATACAACATGTAAATATTATGCCAGTATATGGATTAAATGTATATTCAATGTTAAAACATGACACATTAGTCCTCACTGTGGCTGCTGCTGAGAAAATAGAAGAGAGGATATTATACCACCTTCATTCTGATACCAAACAGCAACAAGCCAAATTCAAATTGGATCAAGTTTGAGTAATCTTAGAACTGTACATAGCTGTAATTTAAAATAAAAAAAGTGTATTGAAAAGTATATTTTATTCTCAATGAGATTCCCTGTATGAATGTAAATGATTTTCTAGGTCCAATAAATTTTATACTATTTCCTTATTGTACATTTTTCATACATGGGCCTTCTTTTAATCTTTTTCTAGTGCAAACCTGTAATAAATATAATAATTTAAAAATTATTCCACATATTATGTATGTGTATATTATGTAAACACAATTACTTCTATTGCTTGAATGATGTTTTACCAAAACAGTATGATGAATTTATTTTTTAATACTAGAAAACTCAATATGAATAAATACAATTCTGATTCAGCCAACTAGTTAAATATTTGAGCAAATGATTATAATAACTTGTGTAATGATAAAAACAATACTTTTTTCTCTGGCATGGCAATGTCTCCAGCCATTTTCTGTCGCACATTCCATCTTAGTTCAGACCAGTCATTTTCCCCTGGCACATTTGGTTTGTACTTTTCCCATAATGATGAGTAATAATGATATAAAGAGACTGGATCACATTTTTTCTTAACTGGTTGTTTTGGCACTTTAATCACTGGAATGAAAATAAAAAAGAATAAATCTTAATTGATTTTACATAATTTTATACTTAATACCAGAGGATCTCAATACAAATAATACTCATAGATATAGTACACAGGCGCCCAGTTATTATTATTACATAGAAACATTAGATTAGTTACAATAAACATAATCTCATTTTCATAAAAAAAAATGTAATTTCATTTATACTTATATATTTTAGAAAACAAATATTTGTTTTCTATTAAAATGGCAAACAAGTAAACAGTTTACCAAATCGAAAGTAATGTCATCTATAATCAAAATAAAAAAAAAAATTAAACCTTATATATTTAACTGGCATTTACTATGATTTTGCATGACCACAATAGGATATAAAGTAGCGAATGGGACTGATTCTGATAAGCTATTTTTTTAAACTTATTTCTTAATTTTATAATTTTGTAATATTATTGTTTTATGTATATAAATAAACTAAATATATAATAATTTTCACTTAAACATATTACAAAATAGCTGACCCAGCCAACTTCATTTTACCTGAGTTAAATTTTTTCTGTATTTTTACATGATTTTTTGTGATATTTTAATAATTATTCTGGATTAATAAATTGAATCATAGATTATCAAAATCTGTCTCCACATTCTAGAGTTACAAATGTCGTAATTAACCTGATTTTGTTTTATTTATATTAATTTTGTTAATATTGGTTCTTAAAATACAAATTTTGCTATGGTATTAAATTGAAATTTTAATTCTAGAGATAGGATTAGGGAAATGCCACCTCAGGATATACCTCATTGTCCTATTCCATCCCATATACATATGTGTATAACAAATTTAAGGTTAAATTATTAAAGCATTAAAAGGTAACAAACTCATAATATTAGTAAAGATAAAAGTCAAGAAAGTTCCTTTATATGTCATTTGATAATTTAAACACTTTCTAGTTTAGACAAATTATAATAGGCAGTTATAAATACTTACAATTATTAGAACTAAGGAGTGTTTTGTCTTTTGGTACTACATCTATTTTTTTCTCTTCCCTTATGCAAGAGCAGGCTCGCCTTACAGGTTTGTCAACATTTTCTATTCTGCGCCAATTTAAACTTGGTGCCGAATATACATTTCTGATATTGTACTGTTTCTTTTGCATACAGTTTCTAGTACAGATGGTAATACTTTCTTGAGTTTTGCTTCTACTTCGTGATGAGAAAGTACTAGCGCTGTGTAGTCTCTCTGGACCTATCACCTCACATTTACTTGGACATTTTGAGTTTTCTTTTTGCTGGAGATCATATTTGATCAACTTTTTTAAATCTGTAAAAAAATATTATAGTTTTTGCTGCCCTTTCCATTATCATTTGTAAAAGACTTGTTTAAGAGACTATAAAGTACTAGTTGGTTGTCATTTAAAAAGATATAGTTTTTAAATTGACCCGACATCTAAAACAAATGATCTGTAGTTTCGTTCTTATATTAATTTCTGTTGTACCTACTTATTTATTGTTTATCCTGTTCCCTACCACTAGGAAAATATTAGCTAATGTCTCGAAGCATAATAATATTTGTTACATTATTACATTAAAGTGAAAATAGTTTCTATATATTTCTTTTACAAATTGTACAATAATTATAAATTTCATAGTAACAGTCAAAATACCTGTAATAAAGTATTTGAGAACTTCTCCACTAATGTTGTGAATACCTAAATTGTTAAGATATCGTAATATTTCCCTAGCATCTAATTCAGAAGTGATTTTATTGTAATCATATTCCATTATTTAACGAATTTTTAACTTAATCTAATAAAAAAAAACAATTACAAGACAAATTAAAATAACGGTAGTATAAACCAACGTGTGTGGTGTACATAAGGTCGTTGTCACTTCGAACAAAAAAGATTGTATGTAATCTATGCAGCCAGTTCCGTGCATTTGACAATTTTACTGTAAAAAGTAAAATTATTAAATTAAATAGTGCATGGAAGTCAATTTTCAAAATCGATTTCAATCCATGGTTTTAATTTTTCATCTCTACAATTATAATTTTAATTAGACCTTCAACTTTTTAGTAAAATGAGATCAGATTGCTTTACATTTAATTCTCGATGGTTCACACCATAATAGTTTTGTTAAATCGTAGAATTAAAATTTATACTTTAGAAATAAAGTTATAAAATTGCATCTCAAAATTGATTCATAAACTCATATTAAAGTTTCATTAGAGAATGAGTAGTGCCAACTCTAAAATACTGTAGATAATTAAAAAACGTTTGAGTAGAATTTTATCTTTGACCGATTACTAACCACAGACTATATCCATATTATTTACTCTGTGACACACGCTTCGATCCATAGACAGTATAATATTGTAAAAATGAAAATGCCATAGAAATGTTTTGAGAAATTACTTTTTAGAGGCAATACTACCTTGCGTAAGTTTGCTTGTTTTTAAATGGTAGCATTGTTTAAAAAAAAAACTATTTCTCTGAACCTATCTACCTATATTTTATTTGATAGTTTTTCTCGAAATTGCTATTTCTTGACTATGCTAATCTAAATTTATAATATTTTTATTTAGAGTTAGTTTTTTTAATCGTTACTATAAATATTTCAATATACAGAATAAAAAAATTATTTGTACGACATAAATGTGTTCAGTAATGGTTAATCCAACATCTTTAAAAACTAAAAATGCTAGATTGGCAACACTATTAAGCATAAAAAAAGTGGTCTTGCCCAAAAATGTTATATCTTGTTCTTGCGTTTATTACTTACGTTAAATAAAATTAGTAGAACTATTTTTAGATACATTCGAATAATTTGAATGAATTTCTCAGGAGAATAATTAAAAGTCGTATTATATTGTAAATTCGCGCATCGCTAAGGCAAACCGAGTTATAGGAAAGAAAGGTTATAATATGATTTTGCATTACATTCATAACGAATTTACGTATGTTTGTTTTTATTATTTGTGCATATGTACTTCGCTTAGGGCTAGATTATTACGGCACTTTATCACGGCCCATTAAGCAAGCATTGGAAAATTTGTGTTAAAAATAACCTGTCATGAAAACTCCGTGTTTGAGTCTGAGGGAGTAGTCCAGAGCTTCCGAATCCAAATGGGCATGCTTGTATGATAAGAGTTAAAAAATAGGTGAAGCAAAAGATGTAGATACTAGTATCTACTTATTTGTATGTAAAATTAGAGATTCGGAGGACCACGTTATCTTTCCGTCTACCACGTAAAAAATATGAGGCGAATATAATATTATATTAAATAACATATACGTACCTTGCATAATTTTTTGTCTATTAGCCTGTTTTACTCTATCTAAAATACTATTTTTATACCAAATTTCATAACCATTTGGTTGAGCCGTTAAGACTTTAAAAGGTAACCAGCTCTTTCCCATTTATAAATACTTTTTTGGCAAGTTCGCTGACCGGGATAAAAAATACCTGATGTTCTCCAAAGTCTAATCTATCTTTATTGCAAAATTTATTAAAAATGATGTACCTTTTAATGGGTGGTAATGGAATGATAATTCCACCTGCGCTATCGGTATACGCTGGCGAGATACCGGTAAGGGATGATAGGTGATGATGAAAGCAAGTCAGTTAGGCTATCGTAACGAATTCCACTAGAATTAACCACGATGTTTTTCACGGAGAACCGCGTGCAGGTCAACCTGGTAGGGTGTATTGGTTTTATTATTATTTTTATTGAATTGTTTATTTCTCAGCTTTTAGCGCTGGTAATTATACTACACTTACGGGTACGTGACCAAGTAAGTGCAGTGTGTATGTTTGAATGGAAGGTTATGTTTGTGTATGTCGGGTGTTTATTATTATTATTATTATTATTTGCTACTAATACAGCTAGTTATACCCCATTACTGTAAGACGGGTTATCCTAGTACCGACACCAGTATCAGGTCGGCCTCCACGCGGTTATTCATGGGAACTGTCGTGGTTTGTTAATTCTTTATAAATTCATGACTAGAGGCTAACTGACCCGCTTTCATTCTTAACTATAATATATTAACTATAACCTGGTGTTTCGCCACGTACCAATATCAATAGCGCAACCAGACAGAGGGAAAGGGATTATTAGTAATGAGATCTTACTGCCCCATTGCTATTAGTATTTTCTATCAGGTCGACTTCCACACGGTTCCCCTTGGAAACCATCGTGGTTAATTATATTGTTGAATTCTTGTCCTGTTTCATTCTCACCTATCACATCATAACTCGCTAGTGCCCCGTTAGTGTATATCGACAGCGCATCTGGGGTCACTATTTCATTTTCACTCATTAAAAAATAGAAACAGGAAAGTGGAGGGACAGGAAAAGCATTGTTAGGTTATAATGGTTGCGTTATACTCTATCAGATCGAGCTCACGCGGTTTTCCCTGGAAACCTTCTTAGTTAATTCTTATCGAATCCATCACGATGTAACACTGACTTGCTTTCATCCTCACTTATCATCTTTCACGGGTAAGGTCGTTACATTTTAATTAATATAAAACTTATCTAGAGAACTGTTTTAATATTAAACTATGTAAAATAGATTATGACATTTTTTATATAATTATGTACTTAAATTTGATATTAATAAACCTATTGTTTATTTTTATTAGTTGTGCTTTACCAGCGTATACTGTTAGCACAGGCGGAATTACTATTCCATATGCACCGATTACAATATAAATAGACAGACAAATAGATTTGCATATATAATATAGTAAAGAGTGTATTCTACAAAAATAAAACCGACTTCGAGTATGGTAAACCTAGTTAGTCTGATTTAAAAATTAAACCACTGGATCGATTTTGTTACAATTTTATGGGACCGATTTGTAAGTATATCCTTTTGCATAAAAAAATAGTTTTCCAAAACGATTTATAATTGCTGGAGTCATGAATATAAAAAAATACAAGCGAATTGAGAACCTCTTTCTTTTTGTAGTCAGTTGATTAATAGACTTCAAACTCAGCTATTTATTTATTTATTATAGGCATAGATCTAAAGCCTTGACATTACCTCTAAAAGGTACTAATTGATTTTTAGAAACTGATGATTCAGTCAAAAGATTATATGACGTAAAAAATGCGTTTGATATATTGCGACTATTTTGATTGAACTAAATGTCGTCATCATACAATTATTCATTAAAGTTTCCAATCATTATGTTGGCGGCCAATAATTACCTGTATACTTACTTAAAAACCTAATTGATTGATTGAATGATCCCGTGTTACGATGTTTGTAAATACTAACTTCTGAAGACGCTGGACGGACTTTAATGAAATTTTCTAAATGTGTACTGTTTAATCTATCTTAGGTCAGTTAATAGACAAAATAATGTTTGCCGGGTGTTTTTTTTTATATGGATGAAGATAAAATGATCACTTAGTAATGTTATAAATATTTCTTAAGTACAATAAAACCATACACCGAAATTTGAAACATCCCTGGCTTCGCAGGCATCAAATCAGACATAATTTAAGATTATGTGCTACACAAAAAAAACCGATTTAAATTTTGACAAAACTAGTTATTTTGGTTAAAATTGAGCTATTAAACTGATTTTGATAAAATTTCTACAGAACCAATCCGTAAATATATTCTTTCAGATAAAAAAAGAATTTTTCAAATCGGTTCAGAACTGATGGTTATGAGGTAAAAAAAAAATCGAATTTTTAAACTCTTCTATTTTTGAAGTTTGTTGAAAAGTGAGAAAAACATGTTAGTCAATAATTGGAACTTAAGTAATGTCTTCATTGGTAATCACATGCAAATTATGTCTTAGATTATTTGATTTTATTAGTATTGTTTGTGGAGCCTCAACATAACGCGATGAATTGATGACAAAACTTACTCTACATTTAATGATATATATTTGCAGTTCGTATCATGTTTTATTGTATATTTACAGACTGTTATCAATGCTAGGTCTGACGGTTGTCGTTGCGAGAATAGAATAAAATACATTTCATTTTGCGAGTCATTCTTACTGCGGTATTGGATGCGGACTGTTTACTGCAAACACAATGGCGGCTAAATACGAAGACAACGCAGCTGTAGCAAACTTCGTTGAATATTTGAAGATACCAAGTGTTCAACCGAATATAAATTATGGTGAGATATTTTTTTTTTTATAAATAAGTAACTAATAGCTTGTCAGTATCTATAATAAATAACTTTCAAATTTCACGTTCTAGATAGAGTTATAGTTATCTATGTGTTTTGTAAACAGAGGTTTATATTTCCTTAAAATGTTTTTTTCAGTTTCGTATTCGATTTTTTTCTACTGATGAAAGAACCGACATAAAATTCTTCACTGACGATTCTCCATTCTTGAGTGACGTAAATGAATTTTTAAAATGTCTGTTAATTCAGTTTTACTTAAGTTATTAAGTTTCCTTTGAGTGGAATTCTCTGGCATTACTAACTTATTTTCTTTGTCGCCTGCTTATATTAATAAACATTTTGCTCATAATTATTTTCAGAATAAATTAAAAAAATTATACCTATTCACTATTAAATATGTATTTACCTAAAAATTACTGAACCGTCGCTTAATGTAAATATTACTTAAATACAAAACTGATGTTCTATTAAGTACTTAAGTCGCAAGTTCACTGACTTATTGATTATCTTATTTTTGTCGCATGTATAATTTAATCTTTATGCCAAGCCATTATATACTTACAACAGTTTAACCAATATTGTTATTAAGCAATTCCTAAGTACTTTTATATTACCTGACCGCAGAAGAAAAGAATGGAGTATAAGCTGTACAGCTTGAGCTCATTCTGTGGTAGATTTTAATAATTCAATAGATTTATTCGGTCATATCATCTAGCACTGCATATACGATGGCATACCAGATTAAAGACCAGTTTTTTAACCGGTCCTTAATTAAGTTTATATTCTGTAATGAAAATCCTTTATTCTGAAACTGAAAAGAGAATGGCACAGCACATTCGGGCTTCTTTCTTTCTCTCATATGTGATGTAGGTATATACTCGTATTGCAGTTGTAAAAGTTCAACGGTTTGTTCCCTGGAAAACATCGTCGTTCATTCCTAGTGAAATTCATCATGGTGATCCAATTGCTTTGACTTAATTTATTTATTGGTATCCCGTTAGCGTATGCCGATGGTGTAAGCAGGGATATAATTTCATTATTATTGTTTAAAATTGCAATTGCACTAGCAATTGTGCTAGCAATATACCGTATTAGGTTGACCTCCACGCAATTCCAACATTTCATTTTTAGCCTTTTAAAAATTTTTCACAGAGTATGTCTTTTGTTCACTTATGTAATTATTCTCATGTATCCCTACAGAATGGTTTCTGCGATTATTAAATACAGATAATATCTATTATCATTAGTATTTGCCTCTAATTTTCCCGAGGGGTTCCCTATGTTGAGTTTGCGTGTTGGCATACTCGTACACATAATAAGGATACAGTGAATTGAATCATTGAAAGACAGTGGGTTGATCTAGGTCTCACGATTGCGACATGTACATCAATAAAATAGAATTGGATAAATGCAACGAGATGAATTCTAGCGACTTTTGATCACAAGAACAATAAATACAGTGTATGGTTATCTTCAAAAGGGGAGGAAATTTCTCAATTTGCAAGTGTTTTTTTATGCGTTATCTTACGTAATACATTTATTTTTATAATCGGCAGAGTTTACTTTTCCAATGGAATCTTATAATTTTTTTAAAGAGCAAAATTCATTGGGTCGTTAAACGGTAGCCGTCGACAATATTCTTACATGAACAGCACTAGAGATATCACTGTTATACATTGCGACGCAAATTTAACGGTATGCCTCGTGTGTTGTCATTTATTGAGGACTAAGATATAATATCCAAATTTGGCAATTTCATTACCTTTAAAATCGAATCGTAGCCACGCAAACAATTGCATGGTTACAAATTTCATAGGTAAATGCAGATAAATTTTAAGTTCAATATCAAGTAAGATGACGTATTACCGGATTACTTCTGGTACATCATACTTGAATAACTCAAAATCAAATAGGTAGGTAGGTAAATATTGGGGTCGATTCTGAGGTGTCATTTCTCCAAACCCATCACTAAAATAAAAGACGAAGAAGAAGTCTTTATTCCAAGGACCAATATAAACTAAATTTCTAATATATTTTCATAATATATTTCCGGAAAGTTCGTATAAAATATATGTATACAATGCTTTACTGGCTTGTCACGCCATCTTTTAACGAAACCCCGTCGGCATGGAGCCCGCTTCCGTTGAAGAGCAGCGCGTCGTAATCAAGTTTCTCTCGAAACTCGGCAAGAATGGCCGTGAAATTTTTGCCGATCTCAGAACAGTTTATGGGGATGATGCTGTGAAGGAACCAACCGTCCACAAGTGGCTAAAAAGATTCAGAGAGGGCCGAGAAAGCGTTCAAGATGACCCACGTTCAGGACGTCCTTCCACTTCACATTCCGACGAAAACAGTTGATGGAAAATTCTAAAATTAGTTCGTCAGAATTGGCGCGAGAGGGGCGTTTCTCTGACCGAACACTATATTATGGATATATTATACATAATAAGATAAAAAAACCTTCCTACTTTAAATAAAATTGATTTACCTGAATAATTGTAAAATAAAATTTTTAAAAAACTTTTATACGTACTTTCCGGACAAACCTCGTATTATACATTTATTTTATAACTAGTGAACCGCCCCGGCTTCGCAAGAAAGCACATTACATCACATCACATTAGAAACCTCTAAAATTATCAATGTTTCTCTACTATATTATGGATATATTATACATATAAACCTTCCTCTAGAATAACTCTATCTATTAAAAAAACCGCATCAAAATCCATTGCGTAGTTTTAAAGATGTAAGTATACATAGGGACAGACAAACGGAAAGCGACTTTGTTTTATACTATGTAGTGATAGTGACGATTAATAAAACAGTATTTCAGCGAAACTATCAGATTAAAATATTAGGATAAGAGATTTACAGAAATAGCGCAGTAGAGTCGGCACTATTGTTTAAAAATTTCTTTATTAACCTTCTATTTTATACCTTTAGATGCTTGCGTAACATTTCTTCAAAGACAAGCCAAAGAGATTGGTTTGTCAGTGAAAATTTATGAAGTGGTACCCCGGAAGCCTATAGTTGTATTGACATGGCCAGGCAAGGAGCCCTCATTGCCAACAGTATTGTTGAATTCACACATGGACGTTGTTCCTGTATTCGAAGTAAGTAACAAATACCTAGTTTTTTTTTTTTTTTTATTATAACAGTACATGTGGCCATATCTTTCTGAGCGAACACAGATATAGTCCTTGAATCAACCGAAAAGATATTTATTTACTCTACTGTTGACCGCACTAGGCCGGCTCAGTAAATGCTTTTTCAAGCTATGTTTGAAAGATCCGAGATTATAGAACGAAGAAAACACCTTACGGGAAAGGCTATTCTCTACTTTTACAGTACGGTTCATGTAGAAGTTAGCAAACTTATTAGTACACGAACGCAGACGGTCTACCGTGTATAGATGTAGTTGATGTGCAATATCAGAAAGGTGAAATGAAGGAATGAAGTTCTGAGCACTCCTCAGGATATAGACGGTAAAAGGCACTGAGGGAGGCTACATCGATTTATTTTATTTATAATTTTTTTTTAGTTATCTATTTTCTAAATATTATTAAAAATGCAACATTTTGTGTGTTAATTTTTTTAGTCGATAAATCGATAGATTAATTGACATAACTTTAGAATATAAAATTAAAAAAAAAATGAATTCAGAAGTAGGAAATCAATAAAGTAGACCTCTTCTAGATGACGTATCGAGATGAAACGTATACCAGATTTTAAGTTAGTCCTTCAGGGACACAATTATTAAAACCGTATCCAATTTGGTGCAGTAGTTTTTGCGTTATGTCGATATATTGACCGATTGCACAATATTTCTAAAAATTATTGTTTTGGTACCTGTTGATTTTATTAAGAATTATCATATTCATAATTTTTCTTAAATATCTCACATGTATAGATATCGTGTAGTAGTCCGATCTCTAATATTATTATATTAGTAAGATGTTAATATTTATTGTTATTGAAAAATTTTTTTATACATTTGGGGTTACAATTTATACCGTCTTTGCCAATACAGGGTATATAGTTAGTATTTAAATAGTTAAAATTACATATTTTTATGTAATTTTAACTATTTAAATATTAATATATAACAACATTTAATGTTTTAGAACAGCTGGACCTATCCTCCATTCAGTGGTCATATCGATAAGGATGGCAAAATTTTTGCTCGCGGTTCTCAAGACATGAAATGTGTCGGTATACAGTACCTTGAGGCGATTCGGATATTGAAACAATCTGGAGTTCAACTGAAGAGGACTCTGCATGTCTCTTTTGTTCCAGGTAATCGCTATCTTGTAATATTCTGGTATGAGTTTTACCTATATAAGTATATTATACTTTATTACTATAAATAAGTCACGGTATAAAAACGGTATAAATAAGGTAGGTAAGGTAGGGTATGTTACATGAATCTCTTGGAATAAATATAATTGTATTATTATTCAGACAAAAAAATAAATAAATATTAGTAACTGCTACAGATGGCCCATTCTATGCTGTATGGTCCCGGTATAGAATGGGCTACCTCTTCCTTTCCCGTGGGTGTCGTAAGAGACGACAAAGGGAATTTAACGGTTGAGGTGTCAGCAGCAACGACCCTCTTAAAACATTACCAAAAGTCTAACTGCGATTGTCAACCTGCCTGCAAAGCGTGGCAACTAATGTAAAAACCGTCCAAAAGGGGGCCACATATGTTCAGCAATGAACAGATAATGGCTCAAATGATGAACCACGGCATATTTTATATATGTCTATTCTAAATCAAACAGAGACCACAGATAACACAATACTAGTAAAACTATAGATAAACAACATGAATGTTCCTATGTTATAGTGTAGTTTATTTTGTCAATACTCAAAAAATAAGCACAGTATGTTAACAGTGCAATCTCTATTCAGTTAAATTTATTGAACAGATGAGGAGATCGGTGGTCTCGACGGAATGAAGAAATTTGTTTTGACTAACGATTTTAAGGCTTTAAACATTGGGTTTGCTCTGGACGAGGGCATGGCGAATCCCACGGAGGAATTCATTATCTTCAACGGAGAAAGGAGTATTTGGCGTAAGTTTATAATTAATCCAGACTGGTTTCTGAAGAGCAGGTTACACTTAAACAAAAAAAAAAGAACAGAATAAAATATGAAATTAATTTTTCAATCTTTCATTCTAATACAATCTGCTGCCTGGCCATGCAGTGTGACGGTATATCCTTAATTTTTTTTTATATACCACAAAGGTGGTAAACTAGCATACAGCCCCTCTAGTGGTAAACGGTCACTGTAGCCTATATTACTAATCTTATAAACGTGAGTTTGTTTGTAGCACCTTAACAGCTTAATTAATCACTATGAATTTTTTTATTCATCTACTATATGAAATGGAGAAGGATATAGGCTAGTTTTAATTTCGGTCAATAAATTTATCCCGGTCACGCGGACAAAGTCCCTGGTAAAAGCTCTCTTTTATCTTAGAATCCTACGTGGCTAGCAGGTCTTATATGCCTATAATATATAGCGTATAGCCTTTGAATAAATGATTTTTTTCTTTTCTTTTTATATACCGCCTTATCGTTGTTAGATAATTACCAATCATATTTAACTCTATAATTGTATAATGACTGTATAAAATTTATTATTATATTTATTTTAGAACTCCATGTGAACTGTACCGGACCACCAGGCCATGGTTCGCTGTTAATTCCTAACACTGCGGGGGAAAAGGTACGTTCCTTGATTTATCTCATCTCTCAATATGTTATCTATTCAAAGTTATCAAACAAGAATGTATTGTATATACAGTGTCTCTTATCTATACGTAACATTTATTATATCATATTTTATCACGTAAATGTTACTTTAAGAGCATATAAAAATATTATGTTCATTTACTTAGTTAAATGCTTTTTATATTTACCTATTTCTACTTTCTACTTATATTATTGTTTATGCGTAGTGAGTATTTCCTATATTTCTAAATAGGCTACTGTACCACGGACATCATAGATTAAATTGTATCGCTCTGTAATTTGTCAGCAAAATAGCAACTTTTAGAAATTGTTAATAGTAATACCACAGATAATATAATACAAGTAGTATACGAATGCCTTAATTGTGCTAATAATAATATATTGGTTAGAAACTCACCTACAGTTTTACAGTAAAACCCCATTGGTAGTTGTGATTATGGATGAAAATCGAATAGTAACCTCCCGTGTGCTGTCGGTATATGTTGGCAGGGCATCAGTGAAAGATAAATGAGGATTAAAGCAAGTTCGTTGGCTCATCGTGATAAATTCATTACAAATTAATTATGATGGTTTCCAGGGGGGAATTGCGTGAAGGTCGATCGAATATGGGTATATTGCTAACAATGAGCCTGTTAGATCTCCTTACTAATAATCCCTTTCCTTCCCCATTGCTAATTGAATGCCCTACCAGGTCGATCTAGACGTGATCTTTGTTGGAATCCTTTGTAATTAACTTCTGCTGAATTTGTCACGATGAGTCAATTGGCCTGTCTCATGTTTAGCTGGTACTCTGTGAGCGTATACCGACAGCGTAGTCGGAGTTCCTATTCATTTTCATGTTAGAAAAAATCTACCATCTATCTGAATATTTATCTATCTTTCTCTCTGTACTTATCCATTATTTATGCCAGGTTGTCTGTAAGAGATTGTTTTTAGCGACAAGGCCGCCTTTTGTATATGCACATTCTGTATGAATACTCCTTGTATACATCTCCACTGTGCGCAATAAAGAGTTTATTATTATTATATATATATTTTTTCCATTTCCAGCTACGTTATATTATAGACAAATTCATGGACTTCAGGGAGGAGCAGAATAAAATTTTACACGGAGACTCTAAGCTGACCATCGGCGACGTGACTACAGTAAACTTGACTCAAGTTTACGTAAGTATCGAAAATCGTAATTAACATTATGGACGTCCATACAGTAGCTTACATAAGTGTAGTAGTCCCAATTATTTGCAAATTATTAAAAACAATGTGAATAATTCTTAATATTTCTAATTTTTTTAAAAGTGCTTAGATAGCAAACTAAAATATTAGTAAAAGGGCTTAATTTAGATGATAGATAGATAGATAATTTATTTGTATTTCTTACAGCACACAAATTACAACATAAATATACAAAAAAAAAAAGTGAGATAACATAAATGATAAAAAACAATAGATACATAAAGCTAAATACAATTTTCGTTTGCGTGTGCCATAGCAATACAATTTGATAGTAGATTATCAGTTCACATATACAGGTACCTATTTTATATTACACTGATGAGTATAGAATATTACCCAAACCTACTAGACAAACAATAGTGCTATATTATAAACCTAATTTATGACTTTTAATCGATTAACGATTCAATTAAATTTGACTATATATGAGAGAAAGACGAGTTGCACAACTAAATTAATGATTTTTTATAATCGTTAATAGATTAAAAAAGTCATAAATTCGGTTGTTTAACTCGTCCTTGTCTCATACGCATTCAAATTTGATTAAAAGAGAATATTGTTAACAAGTTATATAATATGTATTTAATAACTATATTTTGTTTTCAAGCGGCTCCTTTAAATGAATAAAAACTGTAAGTTGTATTTATAAGTCAGTAGATAAAATTCTATAAGTAAATCATGCATATATAAATTCCGTTACAAGTATAAACTGAATAATTAAGTACACAAGTTATGTACCTGGGTAGATAACTAACTACCTACAATTATATGTAACATATGATACATTATATCAAAAAAAAAAAAATATTTGGAGAATTTAATTTTCTGCCACTTTTTTGTGTTATTTTATAGGGAGGCGTGCAATCAAATGTCATACCTGAAAAATTAACAGCCGTTTTTGATATTCGGTTAGCGGTGACCGTTAATCATGTTCAATTTGAAAATCGGGTAAGTGTTGTCTCAGAATAGAAAAAGATGAAAGTAACTGCAAAAGTATTAGGTCCTTACATATGAAATTAGCGTTGTCGTACTGATCACTTTGATATGAAATACCTCGTCTTTGGTTAAGAATTCCAAATTCAAATTTATAATTTCATGTAACTGGTACATTTGAGTTTTGAAAACAGTCATTCATTTGTTTTCTTTAATATTTTTTTCGTTTGCGTCGCTTATTACCGCACAATTAAAAACATGAAATATATTCACGGTATAGTTACAAATACGAGTTCTACCGTAGCACCAGTGCTACAGAAATAGCTCGAATGATTTATGATGTGTACGGCGCTGGTGTCGCAAAGGAAGCACGGTACGTTTTTGGTTTCAACGTTTCCGTTCTGGAAATTTCGACCTTCAGAGCCAACCCGTGGGCGGCCGGAGACCAAAGTGGAAAATGAAGAATTAAAGGCTATTGTAAAAGCGGATCCATCACAAAACACTTCAGAGATAGCTGCAGGCTTCGGGTTAAGTAATAAAACTATTAATCCACTTGAAGCAAATCGGGAAAGTAAAAAAAAAACTTGAATGATGGGTACCTCATGAATTAAGTGAATACAACTTGCAAACACGCGTCGACTGCTGTGTTACTTTGCCGACACAATAATGAACCGATTTTAAATCGAATCATTACTTGTGAGGAAAATGGATACTGTACGATAATCGAAAGCGCTCGTCGCAATGGCTGAACCCTGCCCTAAACGAAAATGACTCAGAAAAAGTTACTTATGAGTGTTTGGTGGAGTAGTGTCGGTATCGTTCACTACAGATTTCTAGAATCTGGCCAAACGATTACGGCAGATATCTATTGTTAACAACTGTAAACCATGAAGGAAGAACTAGCTGTTAAACAACCGAGATCGGTCAATCGCTCTAGCGCACTGCTGTTCCACGACAACGCAAGACCACACACTGCACAACAAACAACCACTAAATTAGATGACCTACAATTGGAATGTCTGCGACATCCACCGTACTCCCCGGATCTTGCTTCAACAGATTACCATTTTTTCCGGAATTTGGACAACTGCTTACAAGGAAAAAAATTCAACTCCGATGCGGCAGTCCAAACCGCCTTTAAAGAGTTTATTGATTTTCACCCCCCTCCCCCCAGGGTTTTTTTTAGTAAAGGGATCAATGAACTATCTATGAGATGACACTTTATATTCCTCCTGTACAAAACGCCGATTTCATATGTAATGACTTAATATCTGCAAAGAACTTCCTGTCTCCAATGAGAATTATAATAGTAGAATTATATGCTTATAAAATAAAATTTGCATATTATTTCAGTTACCCTGTTATGTTAGCAGATACATAGGTTGCTAGAAACTGAAATTAATCCAAGATTTGTTAATGTTCATTTCATTTTAAATAATGGTACTTCGAAAAAATACCATAAATGTCTCTATTTTATATATAAAATTATAATGCAATTTCAGGTAAAACGATGGTGTGAAGAGGCTGGCGACGGTGTCACTTTTGAATTTGAACAAAAAAATCCTTTTGTGGAATGCACTAAAACCGATGCATCAAATCCATACTGGGTTGCGTTTAAGAAAGCAACTGATGAAATGTTAGTAACAATTTTGTTAACTATATTAATTTCTATTTACTACCTATCTGGGCTATTTATATTAACTCATAGAAAGTAAGGTGAGAGGTATTAAGATTTCTTCCGATTAAAGATACTTTATTAACCTCCTTCGTGGTGTAGTGGTTGTACACTGCAACTAGTCACTGTCAATAATCGTGGGTTCGAATTCCACACAAATATTTGTGTTCGTGAGTATATCTATAGGTATTTTTACTTATTGGTAATTAGTCCAAGTTTAGTTCAATTTGATATAAATGGTTCTTCTTGATATATTCGGAAGTATTTATCTATTTATTTAAAATCTTTTTTATTCTATAGCTGAACTAGACAATACATTATTTTATCTTTTAATCAAATGACGTTTTACATGTATTTCAGAAATTCGGAACGTTAACGTTAAAATAATGTTATTTCTCTTTAATATACCTATCGGTCTTTTCAATTGTAAAGATATTTTGTTTATTTATTTTTAACTATAATATTTAAGTCGATTGGTACACATGTATGACTGTAACTACTAATGAACTGTCACTTTTCTCATATTGGGTTTGCTGGAAGAAATCTCTATTGGAGATAAGTTCGCCCTTGTGCACTATTATGTTTGTTTTTACATTTCAATAACCTTTTGTGTACAATAAAGAATATAATAAAACTGTTGCCGTGTGATTCTGGCGTAGAATGGACTAAGAGGTGGTCCTTTCCCGTGAGAGGTGACCGAAGGAACTTAAAGGTCAAGGAATGGGCTGCAGCGTTCTCATTAAGATATCTCCAATCTTAATTGTGGTTGCCAACCCGCTTGCCAAGCGTGGCAACTACTGGCAAAAGCCTCTTTATGGGGAGACCTATTTTCAGCAGTGGACAGTTAAAGGCTGATATGATGAAGATAATGATGATAAAACTGTAATGAGGTGATGTCTGTACAAGAAACGAAAATAATATTTTTTACAATTTGTCTATGTATTTATTTATTTATCTATCTATGTATTTGTCCCGGCATCACGCAAACCTGAAGGTCTGACTTAAAAGTCTGATGTACGATTTATTTTGATGTGCTATCTAGAAGTGGTCACATATTTGCAAAATCGACCCGTACACAGTGGCGGGCAAAAGCTAGTCTTTAATAAGTTGGCTTGATAATGGAAGACTAAGCATTAAGAAATATAAATAGATGATCAAGGTAACTTATCCGTCAATTTCGATCTTAATTAATTCTTTGTTTGTGTCTATAATCTAAATACAAACAAAGGATCAATTTAGGTTAAAGGGAAAATATAGCCCGCACCTATTTGTTTACCTATTTTGAAAGCCTTTTTGTGTCTTTGCCTGAAGAATAAGATGGATTTTACAAGATTGAACTTAAGAGCTGAATTATATTATTATTATTACTTTAGGTCTCACTGTCATGGGCAAGCCATGTCGATATGCCGGTAAATACGACGGATATCATTTACTATTTACAAGAGCATTAGCTTGTTTGCCATCACTAGAAGTACTTTTACTTATCTATAAAAATACACTCACAACCGAGAAGTGAGAGACACTTAGGTATCTGCAGATATCTGTTTTTATCTATCGACAGAGAACTCGTCAAATTGTGTATTGCGAATGTGATTTCAGACAAGTTTGCCGGGAAGAATTGAAACCAACTTCTTGTACAGTTTCTCTCTATAGGATTGTTTATAAACTACGAAAACTGTTCATCATTAAATGGGCCATATGTTTGCTTATCACTCTTGTGGCAATGTCAATAGTAATAAAATTAATATAGCACTATCACGGGTGTCATAATTTTAAGTAGTTTAAAGATACTAAAAAATAATTTCATTTTCAGGGGTTTGAAATTAGACATTCGTATATTCCCTGGAGGCACGGACAGCAGATACATACGTAGGGTCGGAATCCCGGCTATTGGATTTTCCCCAATGAACAATACCCCGGTTTTGTTACACGATCACGACGAGTTCTTGCGAGCTGATATCTATTTGAAAGGCATCGATATTTATGTCAAGTTGTTAGCAGCAGTGGCTAATGTTTGATTTTATTTATATACCATGTTTTGTGTAACCATCCTATTTTTAATGATTACTTATGTATCACCATAAGTATAAATATAAAATTGTCTATAATTGTTAATGTATATTATTATTAAATATTTGTTGTTACTAATTACTTATAGATGTTGTTTTTATTTATAAGTATCTATTTGGCTCATTCTAATCTGTCATAACGGTAAAATTTAATTTTTAATATTTACTGTTTATGAGATTGATTTTTAAATCTTAATATATAATAATGTCACGATACAAATTAATACCAGGTGTATTTTCCTTAATGATCTGTCCAGTTTTAGAGAAAGAAATGCGAGATCGGCCTCCCAAGCCATTACAGCTTCTGACTAATATCTCTACCATTGCAGTGTCCCCCTTTCCCGTTTCCCCATTAATTCTTCATTCCATTTTTACGAATTTCCTATACTTACTTCACGGGGGACATTGAAGTCGTTTTTCCTCAATCCTTTTCCTTCACATTGCATATGGCTGATACCACCAACAAGTACAATCCTAGGGAGAGTTGATGTCAGTTATTTATGTGGTGAAAAGGATGGAAATGGCAGCCCCGTCTGTTCTTATGATATACACTGGTGGGACTCCAGTGGGTAATATGATAATAGAAAATGTCGGGTCAGTTAGTAAATCGTAATCACGAAGCTTTCCAGAGGGAACCGAGTGGACGTCGGCCTGATAAGGTATATTGTTATGCGGACATTAGTAATGCGTAATAACAATTCTTTCTTCTCCTAGGTAGGTGGCTGATCATAAAATCAAATCCTTATATAAATAAAATCATAATACACTACCCCAAATAATTGAGATAAGTGGAAGAAGATGGGTCACGATGGTCATTCATGATAATTTCGGTAACATATTTACGTTACTAAAAAAAAAAACTATTAAATGGTTTTGAAAGAAATTTTGTACACTAATAAGTTATATACCAATTTAAGATGTAGGATGCTGTATATAGCGTCATAGTCGTAGAATACTGACGGATCTATATATGTAATATTTGTCAGATCCGTTAGTATTCTACGACTATGACGATAGTAAATCGTGTAGACGCAGACGCGGGATACAGCTAGTAGTCTATAGATTTGTTTTAAATTGGACAACACTATTTTTTCGTTATATTCAAGGAGAAATAAGTCATTTATTCTTTATGATTACCTTGTGTGACCAACAGAAATAAGATAACCTCATTACGAGTAATCAATATTTTAGAATATTGATTAATAAGGTTATTTTATTTTTAAGATTTCTCTAAGAATTTATAATAAGAATTTCTCTAAGAAATTGTTCACGGAGGAAGGAGGGTAAATGAATGAATCTAAAAGTTAATAAAGAATATTTCTAAATATAACGCATGCTCATCGTTTTAATTGCCCCTAATAAAATAGTCTTATAATATTCTTCATTTTAAATCTATTCTATCTTGTAACTATAATTTATATTACACGTTAAAATATAATTGTGGCAATAGCTATTTCAAATTCATGACAGACGATAAGTAAAATTAAGATGAAGACTAAGACTAAAAAATATTGGTAAAATAAGTTGGAAAACTATGATCTACATCATTGTATTGTAAGTGGTACATTCTTAGTTATAAGCACTGAAGTTAAGTAAATATTTTTTACATAGGCAGGTTTTATTGTTAGGAAAACAAACGATTAGATGGTCCACCAGATGGAAAGCGGCTACTGTCGCCCATGAATCACGTGCCAACATTGAAAAGGTCGGCCTGGCCTATTAAATATTGGCATAAAAAAAACTATACTTAATAGCATAGATATAACGTGTTTATATACTAATTTAAGGTTTACAATGTAAAAAAAAACAAAAACTGATTGCATAGATAGATAGATAGATACTCTTTATTGTTTCCTCCAAAAGATTACAATAGTAAACTTATTATAAATATAAATAATTACAAGAAATAATCACAATGAGAAAACAATGGGCGACCTTATCGCTAAGAGCGATCTCTTCCAGGCAACCTTTGGATGGAGAGGAGTAATTATAAACAGTTTGGTGGGAGGCACGATGAAAAATTTTGTTAGTTCTAAATATGGGAGATGTGATACATATAATAATATAAATATTATCCCTACTCATTATTATATTTACCAGAGGGAGACTTTGTACAAAAGTCGATTGCTTGGGTACCTCTGTCCCATTCGTGTTTCAACCGTTAAGCAGTTGTGTTTGCATGGCTGTGTTTCGATTTGAAGGGTGGGATATGGCGTGAATTTACTGGGTACAGAGGAATAACACCTGAGTCCTCAGGAATGGCAACGCATGAGGGGTATTATGGGCGAAACAGTATACTCTGTCATGTCCATAGTACTACTTATGTCTATAGGCGACGGTTACCACTTTCCATCAGGTGGGCCGTCAGCTTGTTTGCCATTTTAAGTTATATAAAAAAAAAAAAAAATATATACATACACCTACATACACCTACACACACATATACATATATATATATATATATACATATTATACATATACAAATACATATACATACATGGACATAAACGCCTACACATATACATAAAAATATATAAATACTGTTCACGAAAAGTATGCAAGTAATAAGTATGCTAACCAGACATATAAACACATTAAGAAGATGACAACTTGCTCAAATAATAGTTCTTCAGTTTTGTTTTAAAACCAGCCGTACATTTTATATTTCGTAAGGAAACTGGTAAAGCATTCCATAGCCGTACAGCTTGCACCGTAAATGATTTGTCATAAAAATTAGAGAAATGTACCGGAGTCTTCAGCTGAAGGCCCTCAGAAGATCTAAGATTAAAAGAATTGATGGTATGCAAGAATTCAAACCGCTCCTTCAGATAGTGAGGGGAAGAAGAGTTGAAAAGGGCATTGTGGAGCAGTGAAAGAATTTGAGTATTCCGGCGAAAACGAATAGGAAGCCACTTGAGCTTAGTGCGAAACTCGGAAATGTGATCATATTTTCTAAGACCGAAAATAAACCTGATAAAAACATTTTGAAGACGCTCAAGTTTGTTAAGCTGGTCTTCCGTAAGATCCAGATAACAAGTATCGGCATAATCAAGAATTGGAAGTAAAAGAGATTGGGATAGCGCAATTTTGGTAGCAGTAGGAAGGAAATTACGCAGTCTACGAAGTGAGCATAGAGATCCGAAAACTTTCCTGCTGACAGAGTCTATTTGTGGCCGCCAAGTAAGGGAACTATCTATAATTATACCTAGATCTTTCACTGATGCACTGAAGGGGATAACCACATTACCAAAATTTATAGGTGCCAGTGTTGAATGATCGACTTTTTGTATTAACTTAGAACTACCTACCAGAACTGCCTGAGACTTGGAAGGATTTATTTTCAGTCCAAAAGCCTTACTCCAATCACTTATATGTTTAAGATCCTTGTTTGTTAAAGCGATAGCATCCTTTAAATTATCTATAGAGGCCTGAGATATTGGTTATTTTGAGGGCATAGATGTTATACAAACCTTTTTTATTCGAAGTGACGTAGATCTGAGTATATGTGTATATCTATTTGATTCGACTTTGGAGAAATGTCAAATTGTTTTAAATTTTTTATTTGTTGAGAATGACTATTTTATTATTAAATAATTATTTAATTAATCAACGATGAATAAAATTTGCAGAATTTGTTTAGAAGAAGGAGTTTTATCTTCAATATTTACTAAAAATTTTAATTTATCTTTGTGTGATATGATAGAATATTGCTGTAAAATTAAAGTGAGCAAACTTCTGTTATAGTTTTCGTATTAATTTAAAGTTTGTAATATCTTATAAATCTAATTTTTACAGATATATAAAAATGATGGTCTACCAGAACAGATGTGCAGTAATTGTGTCTACAAATTGGGTATTGCATATCATTTTAAACAAACTTGTGAGAGTGCTGATGTTCGATTGAGACAATATCTGGGCCGGCAAATACCTGAGAAGTATGATTTTGTTTATTTTGGTGCATTACATAAATATTAATAATTATTATTATATGTATTGTACATATAAAATCAAATTTTAAAGGAACTGTATGAAGTTATATTATACTTTTTATTTTATATATCTAATATTCTGTCTTAATTTAAATATTGCACTCACAATATATTTTAATATTAGTCAATAAAAATCAATAAAAAATGTAATTAGGTAAAATTATTGTCATAAGACTATGTAACAAAACAATTTCTTACTGTAAAACATGGTTTTAAATTACATGAACACAACAAATTATATTATGTTTCTGTTTTTTTTATTTATTTATAAATGATAAATTAAACCCAAAAACATTAAGCTGATGCTTAATATATATGAAAAAAGGGGAGAATGGAGATATGGATTATTGTTATTTAGAATATACAGAAATTATAATGTTTAGGTATAGTGTTATATAACAGGAATAATTCGAGTAACTTTCTGTTTCTGCAGATCCAGTGATGTTGCTGTGATGACAGATCCTATTGTAAGTAATGATATAGCTATCTTTATAAGGAGAATAGTAATAGTATTACTCCTTTCATAGATTTTTGTTTAATATATATATCATTATAAATTGTATGAACTGACCAATTTAAATCCTTTTATTTATGTCAAGTATTTTAAATGAGTTTAATGAATAAATTAATGAAGGGGTCAGTGGGTGCCCTAAGGTTTCTAATATGAATTATAATTAAAAAAAAAAAAGCTCATTAAATAAAAATTTTTTGGAAGTTTATTGCATTGAATAAAAATATATATTGTATTATTAAATTGTATATAAATTTAATTTTCAGGTACCTACACATGCAACTATAATAAAGAAATGGTAAATATTTTAATGGGGACTAACCAATAAATTTATTGTTATGTAAATAATATATTAATGCCATTATATAATTAATTTTATATTTTCATTATTAGTAAATGTAGACTGGGTCAACAGAGAAAAACCAGCACAAATTACAAAAGAAAGCCAGAATCTGAGAAGTTGAAACGTGGTCCAAAACCTAAACCTAAACAAACACACAGTTGTTACCAATGTGACAAAGAATTCAGATGCCAAGCACAATTAGAAACACATGTCAGGTATATTAATAGTTTATTTAATAGTACTAATAACATACTGAAAAACATTACTTTGTTTGCTTAATCTTAATAAAGCCTGTGTACCAAAATTGTTAGTCAGTACGTAAAATTAAGAATCTACCTATGGTTCAGATCATATTAGTATAGAAACTTTTGAGTCAAAAATTTAAAAACGAAAAAATGTTCAGTCTTTCATGTTAAGAACTGAACACTCCATGTTAGTATGGGGCACTCAAAATTTTTTTGTTTCATATTTCAACTCAATTTTTTTTTGCTGGAAATGTTCACTTTTAATATAATAGAATTTATAGAATGCTTTCTTCAAAGGATGCTTTCGATTGCACCCTATATAGTCCATTAAGTTTAACATTTGTTTCAGAACACATACAGGAGACAAGCCATTTACCTGTATGTATTGCCCACGCAGATTCACACAGAAACATAATTTGACCATACATCTACGAGTACATACTGGTGAAAAGCCATTTCAGTGTGAAGTTTGCAGGTATTTATCTTTATAATATTGATTTTATTATTATTTTTATAAATTATGAAATGCTTGTTGAAATTGAATACAATTAATATTTTTTTTATTTTGTAGTAAAAGATTTTCTGCACAAGGCAATTTTCACGCACATTTGAAAATTCATACAGGACAGAGAGATCACGTAAGTTGATAAGAATTTTACATTATTTATTTATTTTTAATAAGTGGGAATCCTATTATTTATAAAGAACATTTTCATTTACTGATATAATTAACAACAATACCTAATAATAACAAAAAATATTAAAAGTACTACTAAATAGGTTATTACTGCTGTGAACTTTACCTTACTACAGCATTAGCATTTATTATTATTTACACTTTATTGCACCAAGTAAAAAACAATTACAGTAAATATTAATGAGAAGTGATACAAAAGGCGGCCTTATCGCTAAGCAATTTCTTTACTAAATTTATGTCTATTTTTTGTGGAAATTTATTTAAAGAGAACCACTACAGGCATAGTTAAAGCTTTAAATTATAGGTACAAAGGTCTTACGGCAGTATCATTGCTTGTTTCTCATAATATAGCTTATCCTAAATTAAGGACCATAAATATATTTCTGTTTCAGGTATGTTCTTTGTGCAATAAATCATTTATAACATCCAGCGAATTAACACGTCACATGAGTAAACATAGGGGAGTTAAAAATTTCAAATGTGACCTATGTAATGCTGCATACATACATTCTAGGGATTTAGTAAGTACTAAATAATTTATTATGTACCTATAAATATTACTGCGTGGAAACAATATAAAATATTTATATATCTGTCACGATTATCTATCTCCCATTGGAGTAGGCAGAAACAATTGAACGCCAAATTTTTCGATTTAACCCTTAATCAGGCCCCATGTGCACTGGCATTAAAACATATTTTTAAATATGGTGTGTTCTTAATTGTTACCTAAACAATGTATACCTATGATCTGTTTTTAGAAAAATATTAAAATTAAGACAAAAAAAGTGGTCGTATTACTATGCCTGTTAAGGAGCTCTCTGTCGTTTTATAATTTGTTTCCAGTATCTCTATTTTAATTAATTTTTTTTTCCTATTTTTTTTTTTTTTACGCTACTAGATGAATGTTATTTTTGTTAAAAAAATAGTAGAATGTTATTTTTGTTATAAAAAATCTAATAATTTACAATTTTTTTTTATTTCAAAATCATCTTTTGTATAATGGAAACAGTGTCTATATCATACTACGGCTAGACGGGTATAGGGCATATAATGACCACTTTCTTTGAATAGTGTTGTTTCCCAAAATGAATTGTTTAGTAAAAAATGTTTAGCTTCATACGAAAGATACAAATATTGGTATTCAAATAAGGGTTTTATGAATTAAAAAAAAAAGGAAAAGGTCATTATAAAACTCCAATTACCTAGGTGGTCGATAAATCGTACTATGCCTGATTAAGGGTTAAACTTTTGCTTCTTCCATTCATAAATTTTTTTCATACATACTTGCCGGTTACGAGTACATTTAATTTGATCCTCCTTTAACACGTCGCCTATTTGATCGACATAAGCCAGTCTAGGGCGGCCTCTACCGACTTCTCCATTTATTCATGGTTGATAAATATCTTTCATAATTTTGTTCGAACTACGTAGTAAGAATAAATAAATTCTCTCTTCTTTGTTCTCTTCAAATGGCTAAATCAGCACAACATTCTCTTTTCGATCTTATTAGTCGTTATTAGTCTACAATTTAGAGAGGAGTGTGATCACATTATTTCCCACTCTATTTTTTAACGTAAATTTAATTTTAACATAAATTAAATACCACACATACTTCTTAGAGCTCTCATCTCTGCAGCATTTATCTTGCTTTCCTACGATTCGCTTCCATACACGAGTGTTGGTGTCAATACTCTTATGTGAGATTTGCTCCTTATATTTTTGCTTGCAATAATTCAGTGCAGTCCACCATTAACACTGCTTCCCACTTTCGCTTTCCTTTAAATATTTCCTTCACACTTTCCATCCCTCGTAAACAATGAAGCCAAATAGAAACTTACTTGCTCTATTCTTTCATCTCCTATTCTTGTCTGACATGCTGTTAAACTAAGGACAGATGTAAAATCATTATTTTAAAAACAAATATTAGCCACATTTATTTATTTATTTATATTTTATTGTACACAAAAAATTACAAACATATAAAATATATTAAATAAAGATGTACAACAGGCAAACTTTGTAAGAGTTCTCTTCCAGTAAACACTGGAATTTATAATATTTTCAAATGAAAACTACAACTAAAGATACATATTATATTTTCAGAAATTACACAAAATGAAAAAACATGATGTCGACAACAGTTCAAAAATGCGTAATGAAGGTTTTAACAATACTAACATTGATATTATTGGAATAGATGTTGGGAAGGATGTACCACCTATGCCCTTGAATCCTACGAAGGAAGTTAACCATCACATACAGCAACTTATTAATGAGAAGCCTCAACCGATTCTGTCTGAACACAATACATTGTTGCCATTTGACCATAGAGTTTTAAAAGATGTTTATAACAGTCACAACCCTTACACTAATAGTAAAAATGTAATAGAGAGTCACAATTGCGCTGTCTGCGGAGAGGGATTCGAGTATTTAGCAGCTCTTGCACAGCATCACTTACAGTATCATAAAGGTTATGAAACATTACAATCAAAGACTTATAATAACTAGTAGCACCAACTGTACTAGTAATAATAATGTGTTCCTATATATTTTTCTGTAATGTACTAGAGGTAGGCAGCAAGGAAATTTCATTGTTTTCAATTAATAGATTGAATAAGTCATTTTCTGCACTAATTCTGTTACTAGTGATATATATAAGTATAAAAATAAGATAAATATTATTATTTAATGAATTTCAAGTATTATTTATTGTATGTGATAACAATAATAAATATGAGTAATACATCTTTTACTTGTTACCAAATCATTCATGCCATTCACATGTGACACTCCCAGTATTGCAGGTATCTATGAGTTACTACAACCATTCACCATGAGACAAGCTATATATTTTTTGCTACGCAAAATTCTATTTTTATGATAGTTTTGTATTGCCTGTCTTGGCAAATGTTACTATCCTATAACTAAATGTCATTGTCAATTATAATTCATATAAAAATGTATTAAATATAATAAATAAATCAAGGTAAATAACACAGAAAAAAATGGTGCCAATTGGAGAGATAGGTAATGAAATTTTACTGATCTCTTGAACAAGGCAAAAGATTGCGCAATCTAATAGAAAAAGGTAAAAGACTACTGGATTGTGTGCTGTTAACTTACACAGAATATTTAGAATTATTTTTACTATTTTCTATTAGGTGTAGTATTAGCTTTGCCATCAGCAATAGGGATATAAAAAGATGTAAATATATTTAAATTATTTATTAAAACAATTACATTAACATATTTATTTGCACTAGTTGATCAAGTCTATTGTTATATCATTTAGCGAACTGGGACCCAAGGTTCAAGAATGTCACCGATTTTCTTTCTTTCTGTAAAAATACCATAGCATACAGTTATATATAGGCAATTAGAAAATTAACTAAGATATATAATGAATTAAAATAATCTTACTAATATAAATATGGAAGATTGTTTGTTATTGATTGTTTATTGTTAAACTTTTGGCACTAACAGTGCAATCATTTTTTAATTCTAAATAGTATGTGTAATACTATTTAATAATAAAAGGGACATAAGTTACTCTTTTTCTGGCCAATCAAAGTTGTAGGTACAGACTAGACATTTGAATTAAGAAGTATACTTATTATTTTAAATGACCACACATGGAAATGAAATTTATTTGCCAGAAACATTGTAGATAAGATGTTGCATTTGTCAAGTTTTCCATTATGTTTCGCCACATCAAATGGTATGCAAATATTAACCATTGAATTTATCTACATGTATGGTTCTTTTATATAGGTAATTTACATATTTATTTAATTTCGTAATTTATATATATATAGTTGAAGGAATGAAAGCGCCTTTTAAAGTGATAGTTTTTATCATTTTTATACCATGGTTATAATGGGTTTTTTTATTAATTCTAATAAAAATCAAATTTTTTAACAAATTTTAAAAGGTACAAAAAAATTACTGACCTAATATGGTACCCGAATATCGAGTATAATGTGCATATAATATTAAATGTAACATATATACCTGGCTCTGGGAAGTCTTCTGGGTGCAATTCAACATAATGTCTGTATACAGCATCTTTCTCAGCAAAATATTCATCTCGTTTCTTCTGTACATATGTTAATAAAGCAGTTATTCCACCAGCCAATAGAACATGCTTTTGTATACCTAAAAATATTGTACATTTTTTCTGTATTATTGCACTTATATAAACTTATTATTTTATTTCTAATTTTAAAGATTTTCCTTATGTGGTTTGCATAGTAAACATTGTTTTGTTTCCTACCAGGTAATTTTCTTTTCTTATCAAATCAAACTATCCTATCCTTTAATTTAAAGCAAACAATACACAGTTACAAAATTTTATTAAAATTGATTGAGTGGGATCAGAGATTAGCATAAACATAATGACATGAGATTTTTATATAATAATATAACGTGGTATTTATTTATTTAAACTTTAACCTTTAAAAGTCTGATTTTTTAAATCAAATAAAAAAATATATAAGTGTACCCTTTACTGTGTTTACTAATGGGGAAAAATAGTAAAAAAATCAAAACAATATTTATTTAAAAAAAAATTGGTTACATGTAAACAGCCAAGTATTAAAATAAAATCGATTGTAGGCACCCAATGCGATTTATAACCCCGGTATCAAATTTGAAATTTCAGGTATATAAGGGTTAATGCAGAGTAAAATTCTATGTAAATTTGGCAGACTTAATAACATCGGAGTCAACCTTTATTAATTTTTTTTTTATTTTATCAAAATTGGCTTGATAGTTTAGTTTTTATAATATTTGTTTTTGTCACAATTAAAGTCAGTTTTTTTTGTGAGAGACTCTTTTTGATCTTTAATTATTTACAATTTTGATCTTATAGGAAATAATACAAAAACCTACATTAAATAATAAGTAAATAAATGACTTATGAATTACTATAAAAATTGTTTCTCACAGTTCCATACAATTAATGGCTTAGATATAGATATGTCACCAAATTTTTTGTTGGTTTAAGAACTAGTAGTTTAAAAGATATATATGTAAAATATTTGATGTCGGTTTCAAATAAATCACAAAAAATATATTTTTGAAAACTAAATGTTTCAAATTTTCATTATTTATCACTAAATTTCTTCATCTTTTTATGGGGTAATAAACTTGTAATAAGGAACACATGTACAATATATTTTAACTCAAAAGCCAAATCAAGCAATAAAAAAACTGCCAATTTTAATTTCATATAGTAATTGCCTGGTACTACTAAACGGTCAATGGATAGGGAGTTGATTTTCTAATTTAAATAAGAAAATAATCATAAGTTTTCCGAATATTTCTTTTTCAAGAAAGTTAGAGGAGCACTTCTCATTTATCTACTTTTTACGCATAAATTTGATGACAGCCTATATTGGAACCAAATAAATACAGACAATGTAAACATGGAAGAAATATTGTAATATTTATGCAAAGGCTTCTAAATTAAATAAAACGCCTTGACAATCGTGTATTGTGTAACATTATATTTTGAATTTTTTGTAAAATTATATGGATTGTTTATTATGTATTATGTAATTATTACCGCTGAATGGTGGACGTCGTGTGCCGAAATTGATTGCTGTTGCGGCTCCTACACCGAATGCTACTCCCAATATTTGTGGCCAGTATTCATTTAAAAATGGCTTTGTTCTTCCCTGATTACCTAGTTTCAGGAGTTCAATAGCAGACATTTGTGAAGACATTTTATTATATTTAATTTGAACGCAAATTTTCAACAGATCTAGAAATATAGAAATTCACAAAGTTAAATTGTCAAATTGACATTTAGGTTTGACAGTGACTTTTTTTTTTATTTATTTCGATTTGGCTGTTTTGCCATCTGCCTGAATCTAAGAAGGAACTACTTTATTACTGCATTGATGTGCATGTCTCGATGATTCTATTAATCAAACATTGAATTACGCATAGTATTAGTTAGTCGCTTAGATTATAAAGTATGTAGGTACATGAATACGTTGTGTAAGTTTGCCCATTAAAATAAATACATACTTAGAACAAGACAATAAAATATTTCCGATTTTATTGTCAAAGCGTTGTCATACCTATTAAAATAATATAGTAAAATTGTTTTAATTAGATTTTATTTTAAGACTAACTTTTTCATGCGATTGCGTACGCGTGGATTTTGGAAGCAGAAAAATGAAATAGTCTATTGCTAGATGGCGTATTAATATACCAGCTCACTCAGAAAGTATTGCGAGAAAAAGTTTTTATATATGTGAGACTGACCAGTTATAATTTATTTAAAAATATGATTACTTATAAGTAAAAATAAGTACGTTCTAAATTCAAAACTTCTCTCCACATTTTTTGCGAGCTAATTAAAATTACCGTGTCTCATTGAAAAATGGATTTGCGTCGAGAACATTTTCGCGCTATGATTTTTTACGATTTTATGTGTCGCCTAAAACCGGACGATCGTACGATAGACTTCAAATGGCATTCATGGATGAAGGCCCTTCTATGGCAACCGTGTATCGTCAGTATAATGAATTTAAGCGCGGTCGACTAACTTTGGAGGATGAAGAAAGAAGTGTTCGCCTTTTGACGGCTGTTACGGAAGAAAACGTGCTAGCAGTGAAAAATTTGATCCAAGACAATAGACGAGTTACATACCAAGAGATTCAGCATATACTGCAGTATATGCTGAATCTCTTGGTATGTATCTCGGTATTGGATCAGGAAGCCTTCACGAGATTCTACTCCATACAACCTCACCGATGTTCAGAAGCAGGCAAGGGTGGAATGGTGCCATGATATGATAGACAAATTTGAAGCAGGCTCGTCTCGGCGTGTTTACGACATCGTTACAGGTGATGAATTCTAGATTTATCAATACGATCCAGAAAAAAGCGCCAGTCGACGGTTTGGGTGTTTCAAAAGGAATCAACGCCTACCAAAGTAAAGCGACCTAGAAGCGGGGGGAAGATTTTGATCGCGAGTTTTTTCAATTTGACTGGCTACTTGGTGTCAATTCCTTTACGAAATCAAAGAAGCATTAACGCCGAATGTAAACGTATACTACCAAATGCTTGGCAGAAGTTTTCTCTGTTGTGAGCCACAAACGACCAAACACAGGGCTCCGCGGGCTAATGCTTCACCACGATAATGCGCCCGCCCACACCGCAATCGAAACGAGGGACTTCCTAGAAAGCACACCGGTCAAACTCCTGGGTCACCCTCCTTACAGTCTTGACCTAGCACCGTGTGACTTCTTCTTATTCCCAAAAATAAAAAATCAGTTCAAAGGGATACAATTTTCGTCGCCGGATGATGCGCTCTCAGCGTTCGAGTAGGCTGTAAACAGGGTGTCTGCGGCGGACTGGAAAAAGTGTTTTGAAAACTGATTCAGATGCATGAAACTTTGTATAGAAGCTGGTGGAGAGTACTTTAAAAAAATGTAATGAAAATATATTTACCTATAGAAATTTTTTTTTTAGTGTCGCAAAACTCTCTGAGTGTCCCACGTATAACACACACCAGGTTTTAAATTCAAATTTCAGTAACACAAAATCGCAACATATGTGATTGGTGTCAAAGCCGGTTTTCAGTCAGACATGAAAAACTTTTCTAGTAGTTTCTTTGTATATTTATTCTTGTTTCTGTCTGAATGTTGTATGTCCGTTATTAGATCTTTTCAGTTCGAATCTTAGAAATTAACACGCAGGCTTGGTGATCTTAAAGCGTTTTCGACTCAGTCAGTTCACCTAATTTATCTACTTATTACTATTTATATGTGCCATTACAATGTCATAATTAATATCTCAAAATAAAATAGCTGATATATCAAGATGTATTTGATAATAGTTCTATGTAAGCTCATTTATCGATACTTATTATTTTTTATATATCTATTATCGAAAGTATCTATCCTTATCTACTAATATTATAAATGTGATCGTAGTGTTTGTTTCTTTGTTCCTTCGTGGTATGAGCCGTTAAACTCAACCAATCATTATTTGATACTTACGGATTACTTTTTTACCACCATCAAACAATATGTTTCAGTAATGCGGATGAATTCGTTGGTAATAACAAGTTACCTAATTATGGGTACATGAATAGCGGTGTTCGTCAGGAAATGTAATCGCTCGTTGCTATTCGCTTCTATATAGTAATTCAGAGAATAAATTGAATGGGTGAGCAATTTCGTAAAAAGTAAGAGGCATAAAGAATGGCGGGCGTATTACAGGCTGACACGGCGTAGTGGATAACGTAGCAATTTTCCCGTAACGTTTATTGCCTGAAGGCATTTGGACTCGCATTAATTACACTATGGTACGAGTAAGAAACTGGTTCAGGTCACCTACGTGTATTAATTCCTTTACAGTCACGCCCAATTTCAATTAGGTAGGTACCTTTACCTGAATTCGACGCGAATTAGTTTCGATTTATTTTCATTTGTACTTCAGTATCTAATGTTTCACCTTATTTATTATTATTTACTGGAACTTTGTCATGTTCGTTATTGTAGCGAAGAACAAAGTAAGTCGATTCTTAAACTTTCTAAAGACTGCGATGTTGTTTCTTTAATAGTACTGACGTACCTAGATATGTATGTATTGAAATGCGAAGTTAGCTTGTACAATAACTGCTAAGTAACGATCAATTAATTGAGAAATATTTTATTCGTACATATGCTGTCTCAATAGAAAAGTATTGTTACTAATACGTTAAAGAATTTATAACAAAGATAAGAAACAAATTAAGGGTAATTGTCTAGTTTTTTTCTTGATTTTGAGCGTTTTTTCACGCATTTATGTGAGGTGGTACCTAAGCTTAATTTTATTTGTATCTGGTCATACGATACTGTTTATACTTTTATCTCTATACTATTTCTCTGGTTTTTTTTTTATTTGATTCAATTTATTTTCGATAATGTTTATATTTTGAACAAATGCTCATTTTTGATTTTCGTATTTGGGTAAAAAATTGATACTTACGTGTTGGAATTTGACTTAATGAATAAATTGATATATGGTAAAACGTTTTTTATAAGCTAAAAGAGAAAGAATCTGAAATCGATCTGTAGTTTTTATTTGTCTCAAATGTTTGTTGTGCAAAAGCGACTCTTAAACCTAAACATGGTACAGTGGCAGGCATATTTGTTATTTAGTTACTCTCGTTTGCCCCGTGTTGTAAAAAAAAATATCACAGTTATTTTATGTGATTTACTATATATATATATATATATATATATATATATATATATATATATATATATATATATATATATATATATATATATATACTATATACTATATTGTGTTTTGTCCACGCAGTCAGGCTTGTGCTCGCGTCACAGTCGCTTATGACTAAGGATCACGAATTAATTACGAAACTAGTGGAGCTTTTTGGTTCTAATTACGTACAAGTTAAAGCGTACTTGAATATCAATCATGCAAACGTATTAATTATTATTTACATATCATGTACAAACATATTTTTTTTTATATTTTACAGTACTATAAATTGCTGTGAAATAAATAAATGAATATCGAAAATCCTTTACATATTTTTATTTTACAATAGTCAGATAAGTGCCGATGGTTCACGGGAGCTTGAAAATATTTGATAAAATATCCGAAATAGAAGTGCGGTCGCTTTTCCTAATAAAATGAACAAATAATGGCTATTAAGCGTCATTGTTAGCAAAAGCGGCCACCCGAGGCCTCAGTAATTGATAAAATACTGCTTGTCATTACTCTAAATAAAAGCAAAATGATGTAGGTTTTACTATAGAACTAATTATAAATAAATTCATATAAACATATACCTAATCTCTCTCTCTCTCTCTCTCTCTATATATATATATATATATATATATATATATATATATATATATATATATATAATTTTTTAACTGACTTAAAAAAAGAAGATTTTTAATTAAATTGTATCTTTTTTATGTTTGTTACCTAATTTTTATCAAAACCTCAGAAATTTTATCAAAATTGGTTCAATAGTTTAGTTTTGAAATATAACTGGTTTTACTGCAATTGAAGTCCGTTATTTTGTAGAACACAATCTTTAATGCTTAGTAATACAAACTTGAATACAGAAAGAGTTATAGTTAAATTAGCAATCTTACATAAACCAACATTGTCACAATTGCCTGTCAACTTTGTTTTAAACTTTGACATTCATTTTGGATGTAAACATATACGATGTGATATGTATATCATCACAAATTTCAAGTGGACACAATCACATATTGAATCAATGGAATAAATTAATTATTAAACGTCTGCAAATGGTCAAAGCTCTTCTAATACCGAGACTGATCCCTTGGGCCAAGCATTTCGACAGCAAATGGCATGAATAATTATTTATATGCTGTTAATGAACTAGATACCCTTACCAATGTTATAAACTAGCCTTTATCCGCGACTTCGTCCGCATGATTAGGATGTTTACGAGCAAGAAATAAAGATAGAGTAGTTTATGCCCTTCTCTATCTCATATAGTAAATTTTATACCCATTATAAAATTTTAAATTATTTGTTGGTTGAGTCATTAAGTGGCTATAAGGTAATAAACAAACAAATTTACTTTTACTTGTACTTACAGAATTAGCAATTGCCTTCAAAGAGATTTAATTCTATTCTTTTGAGTGGGGTATTTTATTTTCTTAAAGAAATAATAATATTTTATTTTGTAGAATATATTTTCCGTGTAAATAATTTAGAATCGCTACGAAATTAGTACCACTTACCTGAAATTATATAGTTAGTCAGGCATATTTCAGCACTATAAAATTAATT